TATTATATTATATTATATTATATTACATATTATATTATATTATATTATATTACATATTATATTATATTACATATTATATTATATTACATATTATATTATATTATATTATATTATATTATATGATTTGATATGATATAATATATCATAATATATATATATAATCCTAGATCTTGATGTGTTCACTTGTTTCGACCATGTGGTATGATGTGGTGGGTTTGAAGCGCAGGCATGGTCCCAGCTGTTGGATGGCAACCTGGCTTTTTGCCATGCTGCGGGCTGGAGCACTCAGCTGATGGGTACCCATCGTATGATTGGCTCCATGAAATCCTGCATCTTTGCCTAAGGATGGACTGGGCTTTTCCGTCCATGGCTATCCACATCTGGATGTCGTGCCCGGAGTCCCAGTTCTGCCATGTCTTGGCTGAACGTTACATACCGCCCAAAAACTGGATGGTGAAGCAATAATAACAATGAATAACACTCATGACATCCAATGACTAAATAATAACAATGATAATCAAACAAAAACCATGGCCCAAGATGGCCCAATAACTGGTGGGTGCATTGGTACCTCATCTTTGATCCATAGCTCCCATAGCTCCCATAGCTCGCAGCCGAGGCCGAGCTGCTGTGATCACACACTGGGCCATGCGACCTATGAGGTGCCCAAGATGACACAACTTGAGGTCTTGCGGATGGTGACAGTTTCTGTGTGTTGCACTGCAGATCAACTTCTTTCCGTACCAAGTCAGTACGAAGCCCAGCAAAGAATTTCCTGAGTAGTCTGAGAGATATTTGACATAAGCATTTCCTGAATTCCTGAAGCACTGAAGCAACCAAACGGCCTGGACAATGCCCACAATCTGCTTCGGAGCTCAGCCTCAGCTCCCTAGATTTAAGCCTTGGATCACGCAAGGAGTCCATGACCAAAACCTGGCTCGAGGTCCATCAAAGACAGATCCAAATAGGAGTAGTTTTGAGCCATTCCAGTGCATAACGCGCAATGGCAAGTTACACTCCAGCTTTTTTGCAGGCTGATTCGCGCTGTTCCATGCTGTTCTTGATGTTCTTGTCAAAGCTGGATGGAGCTTTTCCAAGATTGGTTCAACATGATTTAGGAACAAAGGTCTTCATACATGTTTATAAATATACACATATACATGTACCTACACATTCTGTATTTGTTGTATAATTATATGTCTAGATACTGTAGATAGGATCAGATGAGAGAAAACAAGACAAGAAATGTGAAGAGATAGCTATGAAATGGATGGATGGATAGTCTGCTCATGTCACAAAAAACAAACGGCCAGGCGGAACGCTTGGTTGACCTGGAGGACGTGGTGGGCGATGTGTCCAGCGACTCTGACAGCGAAGGGTCCTCCGTGTCATCCTGGCCGTGGAGGAGGCGAAGGGTGAAAAATGGGGGGATGTCTCCCTAATCTATGGCCATCTATGGCCATTTATAGGAACATGATATATATCATATATGATATATGACGATATATGATTATATATGATGAACCAGATTTGGGGCATACGTATATATAAATATAGTATAATCACTTTATATATCTGTATTATGTGTATGTATATACCAATAATTGGTCCCCTGAGGTTCGCTGTTGTGAAAGATGTGAGTCCATTGATGTTCTGTCGAACGCATTTCATCCTTCGCTATCAGTTTGCCGTTTGTTGTGTGCAACATCTTCATCTCAAGTCATTTCAATGTTGGTAGCCCCATCACTTGCCGTGTGCATTTGTTGCGCCGTTGGTGGCTTCATTGGTGGATTGTCCTTTAATCGGGAGACTCCTCATTGTAGTTGCCCTGATTGCGTGGTTAACCTGTCCTGTCCTGCTGTTCACTGTACCACCGGAAACTTTGAAATCAGCCTCACATCTCTGATCTATCTTGGATTTGGATTGCTGGTGACTTATCTCATTGGGTGGGCGGTGAAGAGACAAGCTGACTGTTGGGAGCCAACAAGCCAGAAGCGGGCAAGCGTAGTGGATGGCCGCCGGCCCTCACTTGGCACCTCAAGCCATTGGCGGCCCGGGGCCGGGTAGCTACCTCCTGGTCAAGTACGACTTGCCAGACACCACATGGCACAGCCGACTTTTGTTAGCGCATCTCAATGCAGGAGAATGGATTGTGTTGACTCCAGACGGAGACATATACTCCGAGGAGTACTCCCCAAGCAATGGAGACATAGCGTCTTGGCGACCCTACGACCCTCAAGTCGGCGCTCCCTTTGGGGTTGCTGTCGGGGACATTTACGACTTCCATCCACGGCCCGATCAAGCCACTGTGGCCCGACTGCTCACAGAAGGTCAAGCCCATGCCCATCTGGAAAGGATGCGTCTTGGACTTCCCGCTCCTGGCGGTCAACCCGGTCATCAGATGGCTCCTGCTGCACCTGCGGCAGGTGGCTGTGGAGGTGCAGGTCCTCAGGTGGCAGCTCTTGCAGGTGGGGGTGCGGACGTGAATGCGGCTCCAAATCCAGCAGGGCCCGCTGCAGCACTAGCAGCTTTGGCTGGTGTAAGCAATGCTGCTGGGGTTGCGGCTCAAGCCCGCGATGCACCGATGGATCAAGGGGACGATGCCCGAACTTTATCCATCAGCCGAGATGGAGAAGGAGCCAGATTCAAAGAGTTCCGAAGCGCTGTGCAAGAGTGCAAGAGCGTGGATTTTCAAGATTGGCCTGTGAGTGGGCCACGCACAGTGAAGCATGTCATCACTCAGATGATCAACAATGGCGGATCGGCTCTAGGGCATCACCAGCAGTGGCGAGTAGCCTGCAAAATGCAACCCACAGATGGACCAGCCCAGGAGCACGAGAGTTGGAGCCGTGTTCTAGATGCAATGTTGTGCTACGATCAGTTGGACGTGACCAACCTTGCAGCAGCAGAACTTGTTGTGAGGTCGATTCAACGATTGGAGGAAAAGCACAAGCACAAGATGGTCTCCACGGACGATGCTGGGGAAAGTGCTTTGTTTATGGGAGCAGCTGCAGGTGCTCGGGCCGGCCTGGTGATATCTCCGAAATTGACAGAATGGATTGGTGCCGAGATGCAGAAGGAAGCATTGGTGGCCAAGGAGCGACGGAAGGCCCGAGAAGAAAGAGCCCTCAGTCGCAAGAACGACAAGAAGGAGGAGTCAGGAAAGTGAAGCCAGCGGGGAGATCAGTTTGTCACTGGTTTTCGTGGCTGCCTACTTTGATATTTTTCTTATGCATGGATCTTGGGAAAGCGGGAGTTGGTGATGATCTTCGTCAGCGTAATGTCTTCCCTTTACCCGAGATCGCCCATGATGAGGCAGGGTCTCATTCTGATCCATTTTGGAGGGACCTGGCTAATCAAGGGATAAAAACCCTCAATGAACTTTCTGAGGGTGTTAATTCAAGTTTTGATTCGAAAAAGAAGACTACCCGTGTTCAAAGAAGGGTTCAGTCTCAGATTCTTGAAGCATTTGTTGATGCCTACCCACGTGACAGCTGCCTTGATCATGCTGGTGGGTTGGAGAAACTGTGCTCATCATTCCGTCTTTACGGATCAGTGAGGACGGATATCAAGCCCTATGCCGGAGAAAATATTTCTTGGCCTCAGGCATCCAGTCGGCCTGTCCCTCTTGGCCGCTGTTTGACTGATGCTGACAGAGAATGGCTAGGCACTTGGCGGTCGCATATGCTGAGAACTGACGCATCAAAGGTTCAGGAGAAGGTTGTTCCCTATGTTGATCCAATCCTCAAGAATAACCCTCACGAATATGGTGGCTTTTTGAAGGAGTTGCACGTTAGAGGCATGCTGCGATATCGGATAACACATGGCGAATGTGGTAAGCTGGGCATTTTCTTCGTTTCAAAGAAATCTGGTCAGCTGCGTTTGATTTTTGATACACGACTTCTCAATCAAGATTTCGAAGAACCTCCTAACACTGACCTCCCTTCAGCCGATGCTTTTACACGAATGGAGATGCCAGAAGGCCATCAGTTTTACATTGGGTCAGGTGATCTGTCAAACGCTTTTTATACGCTTTCTGTTCCCGAAGAGCTGGGAAGGATGTTCACCCTGCCTTGCATTAAGGCCCGACATCTGGGGCTGACTGACATTGATGGCATAGCTGTTCGGCCCGACACTCAGGTGTTACCGTATTTGACTGTTTTGCCTATGGGATGGTCATGGGCGCTCCATCTATGTCAGTTGGTCATCATGAATGCCATTAATGCTGCAGGGATTTCTGATTCACAGATTATTGGACACAAGCGTGGAGCAGTACAGCTACATGACCCTGACAGTATAGCTGTTGCTGGTTATGTTGACAACTTCGGTATTTTTGGTTGCAACCCCGCTTCGGTTGACCAAGGCCGTATGCGGATTGCTGAGCAGCTTCGGCGGTGGGGCTTGTCAGTGCATGAGGAGGAACAAGCACAACTCAAAGGTGAATTTGTTGGACTGTTTTTCAACGGTGAAAAAGGTTATGTTTCAATCAAACCATCACGCCTCCTCAAGCTTAGAGCTGGCATCGAGGATTTGTTGAGCAAGCAATTTTGTACTGGTCGGGTTCTTCAACTGGTGTTGGGCCACTGCACTTGGGCTATGATGGCCAGAAGGGAAAGCCTGTCCATACTTCATCATTGTTACAGTTTCTGTCACAAGTTTCAAAACACCCCTACTCGTTTGTGGCCCAGTGTCAGACAAGAGCTCACATGGATCGCCTCTTTTCTCCCTCTTCTCAGGTGCAAGATTAACAATGGTTGGAGTACTGATGTAACTGCCTCTGATTCTTCTCCTTGGGGTCTGGGGGTTTGCAGTCGTCAATTGGATGTTTCAACTGTTGCGTCTATTGGAAGTGTTAGTGAAAGATGGCGATTTAAATTCGAGGATGCAACCCGGGCCCGAAAGCACGCCCTTTTCAAAGACGTAAGTGATGATGATCCAGCCGATCGCTGTCACAAACAATTTGGGTCGGGGAGTTTGCAGGGGACCGGTATTCATCATGATGAGATTGAGCAGTCTGGCACTGATGACGCCCGCAACGACATGAATGCGAGCGTAAGCACTGATAGCTTTTCAACCTTTATTTGTCAGCAAGGGTTCAATGAGATTTCAACTGATCTGCTGAAGCCTGAAGATTGGGCAGTGGTGTGGTCGAAGCCATGGAGGTTTCAGGCCAACATCTTGAACACTGAGGCTCGAGCTTTAGGTTGGTCCGTTGAGCACTTGTTGAGGTCAAATAGAAACATCAACAAGCGCCTCCTCTGTTTCAGTGACAATCTTCCCTTAGTGCTGGGAGCGTGCAAAGGTAGAGCCAAGTCTGGTTATCTTTTGAAACCTCTTCGTAGGATCACTAGCCTTTTGCTTGCCACCGGATCGCGCCTAGCAGTGAGATGGATTGCCTCTGAATTGAATGTCGCGGACGCTCCCTCGAGGGCCATCGCGATCTGGAAGAAGCGAAACCTTGAGCGCTGGTGGGAGGATTTTATCAAGGAACCCTTTAGACATCACTGCAGCATTGGGGGTGGAGACCAAGACCAACCTCATGCCGCTGAACCTGGAGGTCTTTCACGGAAAGGAATCCCCAAAGCTGGCTCGTCGTCAGAAAGTGGCGGCGTCGGCGTTTGTGCCTCAGGGTTTGACTTATTTGGAGGTGAGAAGCGTCAGGAGCAAAACAGTAAAGGATTATCAGCAGCGCATGGACAAGTTCACCACGTGGTTGAGGGGGACCACATCCAAGATTCTGACCCTCGAAGATCTCGACTTCTGCCTGGTAGAGTACATGAACGAGATGTTTTTGAAAGGGGAGGGCATAGACGCAGGAATTCGAATCCATGCGGCCGTCAGGTTTTTCTTCCCCTTCCTTGGCCGACCAGCAGCCGGGACCCTTCCCCGAGTGGTCCGGGCCCTGAAGGGATGGTCAATGGCATCTCCACCAAAACAACGATTGCCTCTACCAGTGGAAGCCTTGGGAGCGATCATGGGCAAGATTCTGGAGTGGGGTCACCCTCAGCTAGTGCTGCGATTGTTCATCCAGTTCCTGACTTATCTTCGACCAGGGGAGTTGTCCGGATTGACAGTGGGTCAGATGATTGCGCCTCAGTCAGCAATGTCACAAAGGTTCAGTACGTGGGCCATCCTGCTTCATCCAGTGGAGGGGGAAGTTCCATGAAAGACTGGCATCTACGATGCCACAGTGCTCTTAGACTCGGATCCATGGATGGACCCCTTGCTGAAAGCTCTGACAACGAACCGAAAGCCAGACGAGATGCTTTGGCTCGACCCTCACCAGAAGTTGGTCAAAGAGTTCAGCAAGGCCGTCACAGATCTGGGACTAGAGCACCTGGGAACTTGCCTCTACACTTTGAGGCATGGCGGGGCGACTCACGACATTCTGACTCGAAGAAGAAGCATGCTGGAGGTCAAACAAAGAGGCCGCTGGCAGTCAGACAACTCACTGCGACGATATGTGAAGTTGGCAAGACTTCAACACGAACAGTCAAAGATTCCAAAGTCAGTGTCCGAAACGGGGCTTCAAGTGATCGCCAACCTTCCTCAGCTTCTTCATGCCGCGCTGCCTGGAATCCAACTATTACCAAGAGAATGTCAAAGAAAGCTGCGGCTAAGCCGTGCAGTCCAGCGATGAGCGGTGTACAGTTGCTTCGGAAGATGTTCAAAGAAGCCTGTAAGAAATCTTGGGAGAGACGCCGTCAAGTGTTTCTGGATTTGTTTTGCGGGGATCAGGGTATTTCTAAGAGCATCACTAGACATGGTTTTGGTGTTGTTTCGATCGATATCAACCTTGATTCTCGCCTTGACTTAGCTCGCAAAGACATTCAGAATCTGCTCCTTGGATGGATCCGTAGTGGTTGTGTAATAGGAGTTTGGCTGGCTACTCCCGGCACCACATGGTGCCAAGCACGTCATGGTCCCGTCAATTCCTCTTGGGGTCCCCTTAGAGACAGCCAACATCTTTTTGGGTTGCCCGATTTGAAGGTCCATGACAGGCTCAAAGTCAAGCAAGGAAATCAAACTGCGCTCTTCACCTGTAAAGTTATCCATGCATGCAAACAAAACTCAATCCCTTGTATCCTTGAGAATCCGTCCTCCTCGATGATGTGGCAGATCCCCTTTTTAGTTCGGTTGTGTTCTTTGTCCTGCTCTCGCTGTGTTCATTGTGATTTTTGTCAATTCGGTGCTAAATGGAGAAAACGGACTCGGGTTCAAGGTTGGTTTGTACAAGACTGCAGTCTTATGAATCAGTGCTGTCAGGGTCGAAACGGTTGGTGTCCTCTCAATCAGCGTTTTCACATTGCTTTGAAAGGTCAGGACCCTGTCAGCAAGCAATTGTGGACTCATTTGGCGCAACCTTATCCTACGAGATTTGCTGCTGCTGGTGCCAAGCTGTTGATTGACTCTAGCTACCATGTCCACAATTTTGTTCTCAGACAACGCTTTGGCAATTGATGGTGCTCCCGGTTTATTTTTGAGTTCTAAATTTCGGCCACTGGCCAGCACACTGTTTGAGAGTGAAGTTAAGGCATTTGAAGGAACTTGAGTTTGGCCTGATTTTAACCAATCAAAGGGCCGACCCTTTCCATGGTGCTTAGTGCATCAGACGGTGCCTGCACTCGCCTTCCTCTCAGACTAAAAGGCTGGCAACCGGGAGGCGATTGGGTGATTGATGTTCTGTCGAACGCATTTCATCCTTCGCTATCAGTTTGCCGTTTGTTGTGTGCAACATCTTCATCTCAAGTCATCCCACCCTCATCTTGGCCCACCACAGCCTTGATCTGGGGGCATTTGAAGGAACTTGAGTTTGGCCTGATTTTAACCAATCAAAGGGCCGACCCTTTCCATGGTGCTTAGTGCATCAGACGGTGCCTGCACTCGCCTTCCTCTCAGACTAAAAGGCTGGCAACCGGGAGGCGATTGGGTGAGTAGTCTGCACTACCGGTATAGTTGTGGAATTCTAGATGTGGAATGCTACCGGTATATACCCTCTGGTAAACTAACATAGCTATTGAAAATGGCCATTTATAATGGATTTACCCATTAAAAATGGTGATTTTCTATAGCTATGTTAAATTACCAGAGGGTAACTGTCATGACTTCAACCTTTAGAATGTCCGTGATTGCGTGATTTTTTCCATGCATGTCTCTGACATGCGGAGACTTTGGCTGAAGGGACTGTGTTCGTTCCAGTTTTTTTACCGCTGTATGACTCCGGACCGTTCCTCCAAGCGTTCTGGCAATGACAGAGTTGATTGTGTTCGGGCAGGCAAACGTATTGCGCGCTGTAAAATTGCCCGTGAACACGGACTATTGTCCCATGCTGATGTTTCATTGCTACAACTTGCTACTTAGCATTCTCATGTTTGTTGATAAACTACATCCCATTTTCCCCCTGTTGATGGCTTAAAGCAGCCATAAAAAATGGGTGGGGGGATTGACCATGGATTGACCCAAGCGGTGGCTTTGTCGCTTCAACGCTGCCAGCATCATTTTTGGCACCTTCGCCCTGACGCTGGTGATTCTTTTCTCCAGCCGCAGCTGGACTTTGCAGAGCAGCGCAGCTTGGTCTGTTGAGACTTGAAGGATCTTGAAGGTAACTTGAACAATCTTGAACAGTACTTTGATCTGGTATGATTTCGAATTGAAACAACCTGATGAAGTCTTACTATAAAACAGCCTGATAAAGTCTTAAGATGACTTGGTGACTCAAAAATTGGGCATAAGGACTCAAGATCACAGAGTAGCGAAAGATGAATGCAGGACTGCAGGACAGGGACCAGAGGTCTTGTCTTTTCTCCGCGCACATTTTGCAGTGAACGTCTTGTTTGGACATGGATCGACCGATCGACCTCCAAACGAGCCATGGATAGGACAGCCACTAAGGATCTCTTGGGAATGGAGCAGAAGACCGGAATCTATCCTGACCGATGGGAGACCGTGCAGGCACCACAGGGCATGTGTTTCCTATGTGACCTGTTCGGTCAAAAACTCTGAGCAGTGTGCGATAGTTTTGCACCAACAATTGATACGGCAAATCGTCGCAGTGCAAGCCATTGTACCCCGTTACTCCATTCAGCGGTCAGTGTACACTTCACCCATCTTCACCCTCATAGCAGGCAGTTCCCCTGCAGTCGGAATAGCATTTGCAATCGAATCAATCGACTAATCATTTGTCTCCAGCGAGGCAACCACAGCTGCACCACACAAGTCATCCAACGGGTTGCTGCCACACCAGATCCTTGGACACGAAGCGATCGAAATCTCTGCGTCCTGCGAGCGTTGTCCTTGGGAGACCGATGATTCAAGTTGTTGTGGTTCATTTTAAAGAGCATCGAAAGTGATCAGCAAAGGCATGTTCTTAGCTTCCCAGTGTAATTATACCTCATCGTTTGAGGTCACTCTTCAACCTGTTTGGGACTGAGAATATCTGAGAATAGCCAGCCGGCTCAAAGATTTTGGAACTGTTGACTTGACCGGACTCGACATGGAAGGCGGTGAGAAGGAACAATTGACTCCTGCCACGCTATGCAGCGCTTTCCTCGGAGTTTTGGGCGTAGGAATGACTGTGTTTGGAGCCCTTGTCCACTGGGCAGGCATCCTTCCACCAGAAGATCAAGGGCTTGGAATGCCCGTGCTGGTCCTTGGCATCCTTTTCTACCTTGCGCACATCTCTGAAGCGCTTTTCAAGAGCAAGACCTCCAAGTACCTGTATTGGATTATGAGTGAAACAGACTTTCAGGCGTATGTGAAAGAGTTGCAAGAATCGCAGCCCAAGATCAAGTGGACCATCCAGAACTATCACTATGAGGAGAAGAGACACAGAGACAAAGATGGCAAAGAACACGTTGAAAGGAAAAGGGTGAACACTCACTCTGCTGAGGCATATTATGACATCGGCGGTTTCTTGGACGAGACTCTTTCGCCTGCGCAAATGATTGCGATGTTCCATTTGATGTATGATGGTGAGCAACAGGACTTAGAGGCGAACAAAAAGAAACCCATTTCGAGAATCTTCTTGCTCTGTGAAATGCCTCTGGAATATCATCCAGTCGATGATCAGGAAGAGCAGCGTTTATTCGACAGGCGAGAGGCATTTTGGCGCGACAACACCCGCGACACCCATCAGGACAAATCAACGACAGACCTTATTGATTGTGGCTACAAAAGCCACGTCATGGTCATTCTCAGAGAAGGTACTGATGACAGTCGTGCAAGACCCTGGTGGATGCAATACTGGTTCTATGCCATTTGCACCATTTTCCTGATGAGCGTGCCCTTCAGATGTTTCTTCTTTTCCCATTGTACCAAGATCCAATGGGAGGTGCTAAAGCATTTCTCCCACAAGAATCAAAATTCATGGGCAGACGATCCAAAGCACGGTCGTGCAAACCGAACAGATACAGCGTCCAAAGCATTTCGCAAGGTCAAGCGTGAAACACCTACGGGAAACTTCACAGAACCCAATGTAGCCTGGGATGCGGGGAAGCAACAACTGGAAGATGTGGGGCCACCTGTTCAGGTTCCTGTTGGTGTTCCATCCTATTGGAAGAATCGAGATTTGGACAAAGACTTTGATGACAAAATAAACTTGTCTGCTGATGAGCGAGAGAAGATGCAGAAGCTCGTTGATGTGACCTACAAGGACAAAGCAACCAGAGACCGGAAGAGTGATGGCATGCCAACCAGACTGGTGGTTACCCAGGTGGTTCGTATGGAAGACAGCAAAATGTGGCGTCGCTTCGAACAAAAACGCGCCGAACTTGCTCTGAAAGGCAGGAACCAAAAAATTGCTTCAAGACGTAGTTGGAAGAAAGTTGGTCAGCACACATTACTCCACATTATGACATAGATACAATTATTATCAATTATTGTAATACTAATTTACGTAGTATTGCTTCGCCTTGGCCTTGCTGAGGGGTGCGCAAAACCTTATTACTGATAGGGGACGACCCTATACCGATACCCCTGTTTTGCATGAGTCGCCTCAAAGACAGAACGCAAAAATCCTCACTACCGATAGGGCCGATAGGGGACGGGACGACCCTAATTTGTGCATGGCATGAAAATGAACAAGCAATTTTGTCCGCTATTCATATTGATTATACACATGCATATACACAATTATACACATACATTCAAGTAAGTATACGTACGTATACGCATACATGTGCGTGTACATGTGCGTGTACATGTACATGTACGTATCGTATATACACATAGACATAGATTTATAACTAATTTATAACACAATCACATACATTTTATAAACAACACACACACATGCATGAACAAATACACATATGTGCATACAGATACATGTACATGTACATACACAGGTGTGTACATTCAGAAACCCTTGCACACATGTACGTTCAAAGACACATACCATACATATGTTTAACTACGCCCACTTATAGATACTTACGTGTGCATATGTTTACACACACAAACACATAAACATACATTTGCATACATTTGCAATTTTACATATTTACATACATTCACATACACTCAAATACATTCACACACAAATTCAAACGTTGACATACACTCACATACATTCACTCACGTTCACATACACTCACATACATTCACACACACACACATATACAATTATATAAGTTATATATATATACACATATGTGCACACAGCATATACAATATAGATACATTGCAAGCCACGTCTTCAAAGCTCCAAACATTAAACACATCTTCCATCAGTGTCCTGTTTCCCCCACAGGTCGACCCAAGTTGATGGCGGAGATGCCTGGCAGTGGTGCCTTCAAAACCTCACCGAGCGACAGCGACGCTGCAGAACTGCCATCCTGTCTCAAGGAATTGACAGTGGATTTGAATGACGCTTGTGCTTATTTTAGAGATAATTTTCTCTTTAGATACTATATTATATAGATATATCATATATATATATTATATTATACCTACATACATTTGATTCGATATGGTATAGATCAAAATTTAGAATTTAGACATATATATATATGGTATATATATATATATTATAGATATAGATATGGTTAGATACAATCATAAGATATTGTATTTTGATGTATTTTGGATTTCTCCAAACTTACAGACATGGACATCCACCGAGTTGGTCCTTTCTGGATTTTTAACACCGATAGTCGATAGTCATGGAGCGGAATGGAGCAACCGAGGAAGCTTATCTTTTTCACGGTTCCTGTCCCGGAGGTGCTTTAGGCATTGGTGAGGATGGCTTTGACATGAGCCGCGTCGGGACAAATGTGGGTACGATGTTTGGGGCAGGTGCCTACATGGCAGAGGCCTCCAGCAAAAGTGATGAATATGCAACGGAAGATCCCAGTGGCCTCTTTGCCGGGAAATTCGCGCTGTTGCTTTGTCGCACCCTGTTGGGCAACATGTTCTACATCACAGAGTCAAACATCCCAAGGATCGAAGATGCTCTGGCAACCGGGAAATTTCAAACTGTCTTAGGTGACCGTGAAGCGGCTGTTGACACCTACAGAGAATTTGTGGTCTTTGATGAAGCACAGATCTACCCGGAGTATGTGATCATCTACACCCGTAGTTTTGATTAGCTGAGCTGGAATAGATCCCAAAGGGATGCAGCCGGGAAAAAACACGAGTCCGTCCATGTGAGAGAGGTTGAATGAGGTTGAACTCTTGCTGCGGCTTTCACGCATTTGATCCACATTATGCTCCCACAAAATCGTTCTTTGGTGTACTGAGTGTATTGGACCACTTTGCCAGGATTGTTTAGCTTGCAAAATCAAGCGTGCAGGTCTTCCTAGGTCCTAGGCATGCTGTTGAGATAGCTTGAGCGATTGAGCCCTGCCACACCACGACATTACTGGCCATCAGGATCGGATCTGTTAACGACTTGACCGGTGGCAAGGCCATCCGCAGAACGTCTGGATTCCTATTGATATGTCGCTTTCTTGATCATCAAGGCATTCTAAAAAATAATAACCCTAGCAATAACCATGCGATAACCTTTGTTGAAAAGGGGACCCCGGACGAGGGATAGACTCAACTAATCCCATTGGCATTCTTTTCCAAAATACCAGACAAGCAACGAGAAGAGAAATGACCGATTCTTGCAAAAAGCAAAGAACAACTGATTTTGGAAATCTTTGATGAAACTGATTTTGGAAATCTGGATGAAAAGCAAATTAGCTGCGTTTTTGTATTATTTAATGATGATTTGAGCAAAACAATAGGGCCTCCCCCAAAAAGCAACAACGCATATTTTTGCACCAGGGGTAAACAATTGCTTTTGACATCTTTTGACGGTGGCTCATATGAATGTATGCGTGGCCTCCAGCAATTTCCAAGTACTTGTAGTGCCGATCATGTGCCAGTAAAACTTGGATCATCAATGATCATACTGCTGGCATCCCTGGTATTTCTGCTAGTCTCAACAATTTGTGGACAGATTGAGCAGATAGCGAATTCCAAAACTATTTATCAATGACTGTGGCAAAATCTAGGATCTTGCTGTGGCATTCCAAATTGGGCAGGGAATCAATGCTAGCTGGACCGCGACTAAGATAGTCGACATGTTTTTTAAAGGGTCGACCATTGCCAACTCTTGGTCATTTGACCAGCAACGACTGCAGGATGTAGAGATTTTCTCCACAGACCCTTTGGCACGACCTGAAAATCTCCTCGATGGCAACGTCTGTGCGCATGATGAGGAGATATCTTTTACCACACACAGACAGCCAGACAGCTTGAAATATGCAGCTGTGATCATTCCGAATCTTCCTATATAATCGACTATAATCGATATATATATATACATAATCCACACATATATATATATATACTTATTTAAAATCGTACATGTCCAACATGTCCTTCTGTTCCTACAACCAGTAAGATATGGCAGACTGCCGTGTCTTGAATTCCTGCTTTTGCAAAGCACACCAGCAGCAAATTCCGCTAGATGGCATGCATGCAGTCTTTGGACAACCATGTTTTGTCACTTGGGAAAAAACATGAAAAAACATAGTATGACACGATCACATTGCACACTGCATAGGTCAAATCATTCCAATCAGATAAGTTCTAAAACCCTGCACTGTTGCTGGCAAATACCTCAGCTGTCCACCAAGAAGCTATCATACCAAAGTGCAAAAGAAACCATCTCAGAGCCTCGCATCGATGCACCAGTTTGCAGAGGAACTTTTGGGCACGCTTTGCTACAAGAAATGCTCCTTGTTGACAGACGGCAAGGCCAACGGCAAGATGAGGATTGAGAGCACAGCACATGCAATTACAGAAAGTGTGGAACAAGAGTAATCAATAATAATAAGTATAGAAATATTGGAATGTTCATAATATATAATGATATAGAATATACGTATAATAATCAATCATACCCTAATCTTGAATATTAGTGCCACCTAAACCCTAAAACGTCTGAGTTGTTTGCTGTGTCAGCTCCCCGCAGGCGCCAGTGCGATTGAGCGCATTCTCCTGTGCCAAGTCCAAGGGCTTCGAGGACTTCTTCAGGGGCAAGGCGCCCGCATGATGGTCATGAGTTTCATCATTTGACATATTTTTACATCATCCTTATCCTTTTCTCATGTTTCATGATGTTTCATGATGTTTCATGATGTTTCATGATGTTTCATGATGTTTCATGATGCTTCATGATGCTTCATGATGCTTCATGATGCTTCATGATGCTTCATGATGTTTCATGATGTTTCATGATGTTTCATGATGTTTCATGATGTTTCATGATGTTTCATGATGTTTCATGATGTTTCAGGATGTTTCAGGATGTTTCATGATGATGTTTCAGGATGTTTCATGATGTTTCATGATGTTTCATGATGTTTCATGATGTTTCATGATGTTTCATGATGTTTCATGATGTTTCATGATGTTTCATGATGTTTCATGATGCTTCATGATGCTTCATGATGCTTCATGATGCTTCATGATGCTTCATGATGTTTCATGATGTTTCATGATGTTTCATGATGATTCATGATTTTTCATGATGCTTCATGATGTTTCATGATGTTTCATGATGTTTCATGATGTTTCATGATGTTTCATGATGTTTCAGGATGTTTCAGGAGGTTTCAGGATGTTTCATGATGTTTCAGGATGTTTCAGGATGTTTCATGATGTTTCATGATGTTTCATGATGTTTCATGATGTTTCATGATGTTTCATGATGTTTCATGATGTTTCATGATGTTTCATGATGTTTCATGATGTTTCATGATGTTTCATGATGTTTCATGATGTTTCATCATGTTTCATGATGTTTCATGATGTTTCATGATGTTTCACGATGTTTCATGATGTTTCATGTTTGTCACTTTTTATCTTGTTAGAGCGTCATCCAGAGATATCCAGATGTTGGGAGCCTCGCCCATTGATGTTCATCCCATATTGGGCCCTGTGCAGATTGGTCTTCTGGTCCCTTGCGAAGGTTGCTTTGGCTGAGAGATTCGGGAAGTGGTGCTTTCGGCCCCTGAAAGTGTCAAGATGTGTCAAGGGCATTCCTCTCACCTCTTCCTTTTTTCTTTGCAAATTATCCATCCAAAAAGAACTTCATTCTCCTTCTTACCTGATTCCCGCTTTTCACTGATTCATGTTTCCTCATTCTCATTTTCTTCCATTGATTCCCGCAGATTCCTTGATTCCCATGTTTTCATAATTGATTCTATTGATTCTCCTTTTCCCTGCTTCCCCATCTTCATTTTTCCTTCCCAAGGATTGGATTTGGATTTTCTGATTTTCTCACAAGAATTCGAACTTTGCAGTCTTTTCACTGTGCCAAGGTTATGATGTCTCTGGCGACGAAGCAGGTCATGGATGCCCGCACAAACCTGGCACCTGCCTGGTCAACGAGGAGTTTTCCTTGGGCAAATGTTGCTTGGTCGGAGCACCAGATCAGCATGGTATTCAGCACCATGGCGGCCATGGCGATCGATGAATTCCACCGGATCTCAGGTTACAAACGATGTGATGAGCTGACGGATGGACAGTTCCCACACCGCACCAGCAAGGCTCTCAGATTCAGATGGTGTGATCATGGCATGTCATGGCAGAAACAGTGCAACAGATGGCACGCATGATTCTTGTCTTTTGTTTGCCGCAGTATGCAATATGATGCAATATGCATTCCCAGCAGTCATGTTGTTTTGATATGTTTTGTTGATATGTTTTGCATACTTGGGCATATTTTGGCCTTGTGCCTTCTTTCCAGATTCCACTGTTGGAGGTCCCGAAATAGCCAAGGTGCCAATACTTGCTGCAAGACGAAGAACTTCCTTGATGCTCAGCCAAACCGGGTGTGCTCAAAGTGGTAGACGTTGGCAGAATGGACTCCACTCGGCGAGGATTTGTGTTGACATCGATGTTTTCCGAGGAATGCATCGAGCCGACTGAAAGCACATTCAGTTTCAACTACAACGTTGGTGGTGGCGATGGCAGCCTTGCAAAGAGCCATTCGCCCAATGCAAAGCCACTTGGCGCACACCAGGTCTTGGGATTGAAAGGCTCCCGACCAAAGGTTTTGCTGCTAGTCATCAAATCCCATTTAGAAAGATTAAAAAGAGTGTTGAAGGCATGAACATTGCAAAGAGTAGTAAATGTACATCCAGCATCAATCAGAGAGGTCTTTTTCGATGGCTTTTTGAGAAGCTACATCAGCATCACCCGCCAAGGTTCACAGAACTTGGCCAGTGATCTGGCCACGGGACAATGCTCCCGATCCCGCCGATCCCGATTGTGGGGCATTCAAGCAGCCTGCTGCGTGCAGAACAGGTGGTTGGATGGTGTTTGTACATTCTCAGGGCAGCTGCTTTATTTTCCAGCAAGAGCAGCGACTAGTTTTGCCATTCCGATCGCATAAGAAAGATGTCCAGGTCACATCCGCCAGAAGTGCGCCTCGTAGACCTTTGCAATTAGATGTCTTGAAGCTTCAACAGTGAGCGCTCATAGGCATTAAAGAGTCTGAGAGGGGTCATAGTAAGCCATGTAAACCCATGATCAGCTGAGCTTGGCTTAGAACAAACTCTGATTTCTGAATCATTTGGATTGTTTGAAGCAGATCAGCAGACAGGATGATTTTAAGCAGACAGTGGAGGACATGTGCGTTTCTACAATGTGCACGCCTTCACCACCCCTCATCCTCCCTTCTGAATATTATATATATAATATTATATATAATATACATTAATATACTATACTATACTATACTATATTATATTATATTATATTGTATTATACTATTTAATATTATATTATAATATATTATATTATATTTCATTACATTACATGGATTATGATGGAATGGAGACAACATTATGTGTTATGTGTTTGCGTATAACTGTTTATTTAAGGGCTGCCGCCCCTGCCGCCGACCCCGGTAAAGAATCGGGGATTGCTGGTGAAACAGGCAAGCTGTGTGACGAGAAACTTTGGCAAATGCATTATCACATGCAGGATCATGCACGAAGGGCTATGTGCGTAACTGGTGCAGCTTTCGGATCAATTGCAGTAAGGTGCTGGCTGCATGACGAGACAGTTGAATTAGAAGCTTACTCTGAACCCAACAACACATCTATGTGCATATGGGCCAAGAGACATAAGACCAAATTGCCAAAAGCTATCATGACAAGAAAGCTCCAGCTTAGTTGGTGGTATAAGATAGCTACACAACTTTTTTTTGGATTGAAGCTATTCTAGTTGGACTGCAGCAACGAGAGCTGAGAGCTACGAAATATGGCCCGTTCGAAATGATGGGACACGCCAAAAAGATTATAGAAAAAGCAGAGAAGAAAGTCTAACATTTTAGCTTTTTTCCTGTGTAACATATGGTGTAATCCACCCGGCGCAAACCATGCCGGCGCAGCTGCGGAGTGCAAGCGCAGTGCTGGAATGTTGGCTGGCCGGCAATCGTGTCAACACGTCCGTGTGCAATGTGCTGCAGGTGGTGTGGGGCAAAGAGATGGGGAAGGAAAGAGTATTCAGGGGTGGCTTGTTGGAATTGAAACTGGTGTCCTGGTAGGGATGTCAGAGAAGGGGTTGAACGGTGGCAGGTGGTGAAAGCAGCGGCGTGGAGGAATGATGCGGAGGCAGTGAAGATGGTGAGCGGCTTTGTGTTCAGGGACGTCCCTTCTGAAATCCTACTAGAATCCAATTTTGTCCAATTTTGATCTCTAATTTTGACTGCTGCTGCTACCTATAATAAAGCAAGAAACCAGCAGCCAGACACCTTTTGTAAAACACAGCCGAAACAGCAAAACACCACCTAATTTCGTGACGAACATAACGCAAAATCAATCACAATAATAGGTTTTCGGGGGCCGAAACGTCCCTTCTGAAATCCTACTAGAAATCCAATTTTGTCCAATAGAAATCTAATTTTAGTCAAATTTGATCTCTAATTTTGATTGCTGCTGCTGCCTCTAATAAAGCGAGAAACTAGCAGCCAGACACCTTTTTTAAAACACAGCCGAAACAGCAAAACACCACCCAATTTCGTGCCGAACATGACGGAAAATCAATCACAATATTAAGTTTTCGGGGGCCGAAACGTCCCTTCTGAAATCCTACTAGAAATCCAATTTTGTCCAATTTTGATCTCTAATTTTGACTGCTGCTGCTACCTATAATAAAGCAAGAAACCAGCAGCCAGACACCTTTTGTAAAACACACCGAAACAGCAAAACACCACCTAATTTCGTGCCGAACATAACGCAAAATCAATCACAATAATAGGTTTTCGGGGGCCGAAACGTCCCTTCTGAAATCCTACTAGAAATCCAATTTTGTCCAATAGAAATCTAATTTTAGTCAAATTTGATTGATCGCTAATTTTGATTGCTGCTGCTACCTCTAATAAAGCAAGAAACCAGCAGCCAGACACCTTTTTTAAAACACAGCCGAAACAGCAAAACACCACCCAATTTCGTGCCGAACATGACGGAAAATCAATCACAATATTAAGTTTTCGGGGGCCGAAACGTCCCTTCTGAAATCCTACTAGAAATCCAATTTTGTCCAATTTTGATCTCTAATTTTGACTGCTGCTGCTACCTATAATAAAGCAAGAAACCAGCAGCCAGACACCTTTTGTAAAACACAGCCGAAACAGCAAAACACCACCTAATTTCGTGCCGAACATGACGCAAAATCAATCACAAGAATAGGTTTTCGGGGGCCGAAACGTCCCTTCTGAAATCCTACTAGAAATCCAACTTTGTCCAATAGAAATCTAATTTTGTCCAATTTGATCTCTAATTTTGATTGCTGCTACTGCCTCTAATAAAGTAAGAAACCAGCAGCCAGACACCTAATTTCGTGCCGAACATGACGCAAAATCAATCACAATAATATACCAATGTTTATAGTTTTCGACCAATGTTTATACCACTGTTTGTTGCTGCTGTTGCCTCTAATAAAGCGAGAAACCAGCAGCCAGACACCTTTTTTAAAACACAGCCGAAACAGCAAAACACCACCCAATTTCGTGCCGAACATGACGGAAAATCAATCACAATATTAAGTTTTCGGGGGCCGAAACGTCCCTTCTGAAATCCTACTAGAATCCAATTTTGTCCAATTTTGATCTCTAATTTTGACTGCTGCTGCTACCTATAATAAAGCAAGAAACCAGCAGCCAGACACCTTTTGTAAAACACAGCCGAAACAGCAAAACACCACCTAATTTCGTGCCGAACATAACGCAAAATCAATCACAATAATAGGTTTTCGGGGGCCGAAACGTCCCTTCTGAAATCCTACTAGAAATCCAATTTTGTCCAATAGAAATCTAATTTTAGTCAAATTTGATTGATCTCTAATTTTGATTGCTGCTGCTGCCTCTAATAAAGCAAGAAACCAGCAGCCAGACACCTTTTTTAAAACACAGCCGAAACAGCAAAACACCACCCAATTTCGTGCCGAACATGACGGAAAATCAATCACAATATTAGGTTTTCGGGGGCCGAAACGTCCCTTCTGAACTCCTACTAGAAATCCAATTTTGTCCAATAGAAATCTCTAATTTTAATCAAATTTGATCTCTAATTTTGATTGCTGCTGCTGCCTCTAATAAAGCGAGAAACCAGCAGCCAGACACCTTTTTTAAAACACAGCCGAAACAGCAAAACACCACCCAATTTCGTGCCGAACATGACGGAAAATCAATCACAATATTAAGTTTTCGGGGGCCGAAACGTCCCTTCTGAAATCCTACTAGAAATCCAATTTTGTCCAATTTTGATCTCTAATTTTGACTGCTGCTGCTACCTATAATAAAGCAAGAAACCAGCAGCCAGACACCTTTTTTAAAACACAGCCGAAACAGCAAAACACCACCTAATTTCGTGACGAACATAACGCAAAATCAATCACAATAATAGGTTTTCGGGGGCCGAAACGTCCCTTCTGAAATCCTACTAGAAATCCAATTTTGTCCAATAGAAATCTAATTTTAGTCAAATTTGATCTCTAATTTTGATTGCTGCTGCTGCCTCTAATAAAGCGAGAAACCAGCAGCCAGACACCTTTTTTAAAACACAGCCGAAACAGCAAAACACCACCCAATTTCGTGCCGAACATGACGGAAAATCAATCACAATATTAAGTTTTCGGGGGCCGAAACGTCCCTTCTGAAATCCTACTAGAAATCCAATTTTGTCCAATTTTGATCTCTAATTTTGACTGCTGCTGCTACCTATAATAAAGCAAGAAACCAGCAGCCAGACACCTTTTGTAAAACACAACCGAAACAGCAAAACACCACCTAATTTCGTGCCGAACATAACGCAAAATCAATCACAATAATAGGTTTTCGGGGGCCGAAACGTCCCTTCTGAAATCCTACTAGAAATCCAATTTTGTCCAATAGAAATCTAATTTTAGTCAAATTTGATTGATCGCTAATTTTGATTGCTGCTGCTACCTCTAATAAAGCAAGAAACCAGCAGCCAGACACCTTTTTGAAAACACAGCCGAAACAGCAAAACACCACCCAATTTCGTGCCGAACATGACGGAAAATCAATCACAATATTAGGTTTTCGGGGGCCGAAACGTCCCTTCTGAACTCCTACTAGAAATCCAATTTTGTCCGATTTTGATCTCTAATTTTGACTGCTGCTGCTGCCTATAATAAAGCAAGAAACCAGCAGCCAGACACCTTTTTTAAAACACAGCCGAAACAGCAAAACACCACCTAATTTCCTGCCGAACATGACGCAAAATCAATCACAAGAATAGGTTTTCGGGGGCCGAAACGTCCCTTCTGAAATCCTACTAGAAATCCAACTTTGTCCAATAGAAATCTAATTTTGTCCAATTTGATCTCTAATTTTGATTGCTGCTACTGCCTCTAATAAAGTAAGAAACCAGCAGCCAGACACCTAATTTCGTGCCGAACATGACGCAAAATCAATCACAATAATATACCAATGTTTATAGTTTTCGACCAATGTTTATACCACTGTTTGTGCAATGAGACATAGAACCCTCCTGTTGCTCCTGTTGCTGCTGCTGCTCATGGCCACCACTTGAAACGCTGAAACGCCACCTAATTTCGTGCCCAAAACGCTCCAAAATCGAGCCCAAAAAGTGCCTAACGTCCCTTCTGAAATCCTAGAAAAAAAAAGAACTGCCTTTGTGATGATAACCGTCTTGTCAAACACCTTCTATTTCCTCCTGCTGCTGCTGCTGCTCCTGCTCCTGTGACTCCTTCTGTTCAAAAGGGACCTGCCGGATGGGAAAACACCATGGCAGTAGTAGTAGTAGTAGTAGTAGTCCGAAACAAGAGTCAAAAGTATTATTCCCTGGCACGCTCCCCCTTGCGTCTGCCGGAGTCGGCGGATATTGACTGCTGGCTACTGGCTGGGTGCTGCTGTCTTATTCCCTAACGCGCTCCCCCTTGCGCAGCCGGGGTCGGCGGATATAATATCAGTTTTTTTGATAATTGCTAGCTTGACACCGTCAACACAGCTTGATGCGCTCGCTGCGCTTGCTGCGGGGCAGCGCAGCGCGCAAGGTCGCTCCAGTTACATGTCCCTGGCAGCCAAGCAGTTGCACCTAGGCCTGCTGTGATTGGTGTGAGTTGATGGTCTTCGCCGTGAATCGACAGGTAGACCAGACTTCGAAGAATGGTCCACTCTAAGCCCAAGCAATGCGTTTCGGAGACATTCCTGTCAAGGATGGAGATAGTCTACTAAACACTGGGAGCATCGCATGAGCACATCACCTACCTGCCTGGTCCATGGCAGATGAGCTTGGAGATCTCGCATCACCAAAGGAGTGGAACGCGGCTGGGGTCCCAGGATGTCCCAGGTCTGAGGCCTCAAGATGCACTGATCAACTGGAGCCATAGATTCCATATTTCCATACACATCCAGCAATCCGAAGATGTAGATGATGTAGATGATGTAGATGATCAGTTGTAATATGGTGCAGCCTGTTTCTTTGATCTTCTTTTGCCAACAGAGTATAAGACATCAAAAGACTCACCATTTGGACCATCAGATATGATCCGACATGCTTTCACAGCCTTCTGTGAGTTTTCACCAGGTGGCTCTGGCAATTCTCTCCGCATTCTCTGGTGCCTGCACTGTTCTGCTGGTGCAACTGCCAATGAAGGCTCTTACCTTAGATTCCTTAGATCTCAGACCTGTTTACACCGCTGATTTTCACTCTGAATCCAGTCTTGGAGTCAGTGCTCATGTCATGCAGTCCTCAAGTGACTGCATCAATTTATGTCCATTTACTCTTCAGCAACTAATCCATGGACTTAGTCCAGGTCAAGTCTCTGGTGTAGATGAGACGACCCCCCACAAAGTGGGCCCCACTGAGACCTGGCGATCTCGGCGATCTCGGGGATCGGGCAAGGGCATTGCTGAGCCGTTACTTCAGGTGGAATCCAAGTGACTTCGCCCATGCTGTGTGATCTCAACAGACCGAAACTGTTCAAACCTGATGAAACTACCTGTTAGTGGAACTTTATCACAAGTCCATGTTTTCATCATTGTCCATGGCAACTAGTTGCCTTCGGTTGCCCAACCTTCTGCAGCTCCTGTGAAGGCAGTATGACGTGGATGCCAGTCTTTGCTTCGGACTTGGCTACGTCAGGATCTCTGATTGTTTTATATTGATATTTAAATATATTTAAATACATTTAATGGTATTCAATGATTGAAACGACATTTAACGACACAACATAACACACACACATATATATATATATATATCATAGTATGTATTATATATATATGATGATTTATGTATATTAAGATGTCATTAATGGATTGTCCAGCTAGCCGCTGGAACAGCGCGAGCTAATCGCCATGGCCATTGCCATGTCACAGCAGGTGCCTGCTGTCCAAAGGTGGACCACTTTGCGAAAAGTCGGACAAAAATCTGAGGATCAATGGAGTCTGATTGATTACCCTCTGGTAATTTAACATAGCTATGGAAAGATCCACCATTTTTAATGGGAAAATCCACTATAAATGGTGATTTTCAATAGCTATGTTAAATTACCAGAGGGTAATGATTGATTATTCTATAGAAATGATTCTATTGAAATACTATTGTACATGATGTACTATCTATTGTATTCTGAATGATGCTGATCTTATACTTGTACACTGGCACCACTCGCAATTTGTCGGCCTTCAAACGTTTTTGGCAGCTGGAACCCGAATTGTCGCCGGGCTACAATCCCGGTGACCATGGGCAGCTGATTCGGTGGAGCGATGCTGATGGTGTGTCCAAAACTAACGCTGTTTGAAGCACATGAGTCATATGAATGACATATGAATGATATGTGTTAGTACGATCATTACGCACTTGGAAGACTACCTTCACATTGGCTAAGGGTAGAATAGGCCCATGTTGAAGCATGATTCACGCGGCATTGCTTCCAATTCTGGGCTTCAACGGATAGGTCACTGTGTGCCAAAATATCAGTGGCCACAGGCGCTACTTGGCCTGGCATCACTGATGGGGCTGGCGCCGGTGATCACCGGTGAAACTGCAGGCTTCGTTGGTTCGTTCTGTCCTTCGCAGGCGGCAGGTCACATGGCTGGCTGGGATGCCGAAAGCTGGGAACGGGGTCTGAAAGAGGCGCACTTGCAGCATTTTGTTTCTGGTGCTTTGGACATCTTTGGACCAGAGCCGGGGATCTCAAGAGAAGCGTTGATCGTGTTGATCCAGCAAGAAGCTGTTGCTGCATGCCTGGTGCCTGTATTGACATGGACAATTCTTGATTGTTTTAGTCTGTTGAACATCCCAATAATGCTAAAGATTGTGAAAGCAAGGATTTTGTCCACGTTTGGCTGCCTTTCATCACTCAACTCAGCACTCACAGCTTAACAGAGACTGCAAAGGACTAACGGCCGTGTACGGCCGTGTGATGTATTCTTTTGGCTGCCAGCTGCAGATGTTAGGCTGAGACCCAGGTCAGATGATCTTGCATCACTATGGAGATATAATATGGAGAGATGCTATCGCATGCTCAAACTTGCCCATACACTATATAATCTCACTACGCCCTGAAACCGTTGCAGCATGAACACACACTCTCAAGCCTTCTCATTCAGAACTGAATTTGACACTTCATTTCCGTTTTCCTCAACTACGAATGTTCACTGCCAACAAAGGTACGATGCAAAGTCATCCAATGGGAACCCCAGACATTGTGATCATTCCATGACTCAGTCGGCTTGGATGTCCCTGGGGTCCCTGGTGTCCCTTGGCCCAGTGGGCTCAGTTGGCGCATCGCTCATGGAGCCGCTGCCTTTCAACGTTCCAAGCGGTCGACTGGCTGGACGTCCACTGAGTACACCGGGAGCCAGCCAGCCATCCGGATGGTCTCAACAAAGCAAAGCTAGCAGTCATGGTCTCAGGATTTTGGCGCCTTGGTGATCCTTTGTGCTATGTTGGTATGTGGATGTGTTCTGGTATGTTCTAGTTGATATTGGTATGTGTGCTGGTGATATGCTGGAATGTGATCTCCAAGTGAAGCACCTGAGGATTATTTTGGAATTAGAAACGCCATTCAATGGCTGCAAAGAATATGCAGGGCATTGAACGGATTCTTAGCCCGTGTCCTACAAGTAGCTTCTATCTTTGATAAGTGTTATGATTTATGAGAGCAGGACCTCGCAGAATGCAAATACTATCCAGATTACATACAATGTGTATGTGTGTGCGTGCGCATTGCAAGAAACCAACGGACAAAGCAAGTCATATATGCCCAAATGGTTGGGGTTGAAACTCAGATGGCTCAGGTGGTATGTGGCAAACACGCCTCTCCGCTCCAACGATAGTCTTGGCGGGTCTGCTCAGCCGCCATTTGCGAAGGACGGACCCAGGTGGAACAGAAAAGCAATGTCCCTGAATGTCCCTGAATGTCCCCGAATGTCCCTGAATGTCCCTGAATGTCCCTGAATGTCCCTGAATGTCCCTGAAAATCAATCGGGTCCTTTGTCTTACTGTGAGAACAGTTCAGGTAGTTAAGGTTGCAAAGGTGACACATGGTGACACTATTTGACTACAGGTTGCCATGGAGGCCTTGCCGGTGATCCGCATCCCGCCAGGAGGCACCGGGCAAAGCTTTGTGCCACCAAAGATGAGGACACATCGCTGTCGGAGTGCTTCGGCGACACAGATGAAAGTATGGTGGACGATAGCAGGATTCGAAGCACAGATGGCACTGCCTTGCAAGATCACATCCACATTTGCTGGCACTGACATGTGGCTATGGATCAATACCTATACATACCATTTTTAGGGGGATGAACATCCATTTACCAGCTATTTTGATGTTCACCAGGGGTACAAGGTTTTGACACACTACCATGTAGTTAGCAGATATCTCTCCTGCAATTGCACGCTGCAGCGCAGCTGTGATGCTTTGCTGAGGTATCAGTTGAAGCAAAATCTGGAAAACCTTCAAAGGTGCAGACATGTGCAGACTCTGCAGCTGTTGGCGAAGAAAGCTCAATCTACTTCAGTGACTTTAGATGGCCCTCAAGATTGAAGATCATTTGTTTGAATAGGCCTTGCCGGCATTTGGTCACAATATGTCACAATATACCTTAGCCTTAATCATCTTAAATCCATTCAGAAATTGGCCAGGAGGAGCGAGATGCTGCTTGAACAATCAGGCCACCTCTGGTGAGACCGTTGGATGTGTGGCAATGTTTTTTGCAAGGCGCAATTTGAGATCTGCCGGGGACATGAAAATTATGTTCAATTCTAGACCAGACTTATAGATGGATTATAGATGGATTATTATAGATGGATTATAGATGGATTATTCAGGATCATTCTGGCTCTACACAGCACAGTGTCAGAACAGACATGTGAGCCATGTGTGCTGCTCAGGTGTTGGAAGCCCCGAGTTTGAGGCTGGGACTGTTTTTGCTTGCTTTCTGGGTGTTTTATGAATGTTTTACGGATGTTCTTTCTGGATGTTCAATGATGTCTTGTGGCTTTGCGAGGCAGATGCCAAGGCCATTCGAGCGGAATCCGAACTGCCGGATCTTTGGAATGACGCCTCTCATGCGCCGGAACCTTAGCAACTGTGCAGGGTCGCGTTGTGTCTGCTATCGGATCCGACAGCTGTCCAACCAAATGTTTGGATTTGAGATTTGCAGTAAGTATACTGCATGCATTGAAGATGGAGTGCAGTAAGATGGAGTGTAGAGCAGTATGGGTGTTTCTGATACTATGGCCTAAATGAATTTCTGAATTTGATTGAATTTGTATATTCCCCTTACATGATCATTCTAAGCATTCTCATCAGGAGTCAATGAGGCTTTTCAACCATGCTGCAATGGGGGAAAACCACATTTTGCTCGTCCAAGGCAAAAGGTCATGGCCAAGCTGCGGCGCTGGGTCCCCAGATATTTTTGATGTTGACCTGGTCAGATTAGTGTTGAAATCTCAGGATCTTCAGGGAAACCTCTTAGTATCATGATGTATCATGGGGAATTAGAATGAATGTATTGTTATGTAAACATATTGAAGTTTCAAGTCATGAATTATCATGAATCATGCGGCAGTCCATCCTTTCATTGGTTGGTTTGCAGGGGGAACATAACAGAAACCAGAATCTTAAACGGTAGACTATATCCAATGGTAAATATCCAATGGTTTATCATCATTCCCCTGGCACACATTGCCAAACACAGGGAACTATAATATGATACATATATACATACGTATATACATATATATATATGTATATATATATATACACGTTATTCCATACCCCAATTGATATAATTCATGAATTTATGGTCATTTTCATGGGGCAAATGATGATCAACATTGATAGACCATGGAGAACACATGACATGGCGCATTTGGACCATGCCGAAATGGGGATTTTTCCTCCACAGTTCCAGTTTCAGGTCTCGAGGCTTCAGAGAAGCGGGTGGAAGATTACAGCAACTTTGGCGACGAGGTCACCAAGGGTTAATGGGGAGAAACATATCCCCAAACAAGGAAAACCAGCCCATACTACACGCTTGATATGGCTGGAATGCTAGAAGTTTGTGTCAATACTAATGAACGACTTGATTTTCTGCTCCGATCACAGGTGCAAACTGCTTTGGAGTCGCAGCCTTGACCACGTTTTTTTGAGGAAATGGGGCGGCAAATGTGGTCTACTTCCGTACCATTTGTGAACAACGTGCGGTATTGATGATCGCATTGATAGTCATAGATACCTCAGATCATCATTTAGGAAGCGCAGTGATGCAGAGTGCTTGGACATTCCCACTATCAAACTGATCCAAGGTTGGCTAAAGAGGCTGAAGTAGCTGGTGACATGGATGAGTCCTTGATGCTCAAAGAAGAAGTGAAGGACTTGGATGTGCAAAAGTGCAAAGTGACCAGGTCACTAGATGTGTCCCAGAACATGTTTGTTGATGAGATTAGTATACAAAGATATACAAAGTACTTGTTTAACTTCAGAAGACTTCAGGAACATGTTCTGTTCGACACGGGTCCAAACTAAAACCTCTAGACTCAGAGCCAGCTGAGCTATGCAGTGACCATCCCAGGCTTCTGCAGCACTGGAACGCTGGGAGGGTGAGGTCTCCCAGGCTGAGGCTGGTAGTAGCCATTTAGAACCTCCAACTGCACCCAAGGGGACTCGGAACAGGTGGAGTTGATGATGGGAGGCAAGTATGATGCCCACAGCTGCCAGTGTGCACCTCAGCCATCAAACCATGTCAAAGCATTTGTGGAGTATGTGGAATGGAGCTGAACAGCGATGCTTTGTCATGAAAGCTAGCTTCTGCTAGAAGTCCTTCTGGCTGTAGCAAGGTATTGGCAACTGGAATTGCCAATCACATGAAACTTCACAGTGAACTACTCCCTTCAAGCAGTTTTGCCATGGCTCTATCCCCGGGACAATCCCCCCCTGGGGACATCCTTGCCATATCGTCGCCATCAGCATCATCAGCATCGTCAGCATCGTCAGCATCATCAGACTTACTCTCCACTTCGTATCTCACGGTTCCTCACACCGCTCTTTCACCACACCTTCCTCCTCCCTTTACCCTCCCAGCTAGCTTTCGCCCCTTCCCCCTTGGCCTCAAGTTAATTGACATACGTGCATACTACTATCCTATTTTTATGATGTAATATGCATGTATTATATGTATACAATTGACATTATAACTATATATATATACATATACAGGTAGATGCGGCCATACAATTGCATCATTAATATGTAATTAATCTCTTTATCAACCTAGTTGTTTATCTATTTAGGTTTTCTTCTTTCTGCACCAGGATCAACATCTATGCCGGAGCCGGTGGCGACGAAGCTTGCGATTGGGTTTGCATGCTGGAGTCGCAGCCTTGATGGTGGTTGCCACTGGTTGAAATGATCACAAAGAATGTCATAATGTTTGATGGTTGGGGAGTGAGTGGATATCAATATCAACTATCAACTACTGTATCATCAATTATCAGTATCAATATATCAGTATATCAGTATATCAATATATCAATATATCGATATATCAATATATCAATATATCAATAATCAAAACAACTGGAGTTGTCACTACATGTGCAGAGTCGGATTCCCGTCAACAGACAACAACCAATCTTCGCTCTTAGAACCAGTGGACACTGAGGAAGATGTACACAAACTATGCTGAGCAAAAGGGCTGGTCTGCAAAACGTTTGAGCTTCACTGAAGGTCCGCGCCGGGTTGAACTCTAAAGATTTTGAATTGCGCTGGTGATCAATGTCTATTATGTTTTCCCCGTTAAAACTTGCATGTTGGAGCATTCCCCAGACAAACCAATTGATGAAAGCCTCTGGTCTTACCAGTTTTGACATTCGACAGGCTTGTAGCACCTGTTTGGCAGGGTTCGGTGAGGGTTTGTGAAAGCCACTGATGTTCAACTTCTTTTGATACACGGGGCGCTAGAGGTGATATGCTGGGACTGAAGAGTCCTGATCTCAATCTCAGCAGGATTTCCAGTCACGTCATGGATCGTCGCCAGCTTCCCGGTGATGCACAGCAACATGCCACCGAGGCGTTGAGTTTGAGGTTGAAGGCCTCCACCGAGATTGGGGAGTTTGGGGTCCACTTTTGGGTCCAAGCCTTTCACCAGTGTTGCCTCTGGTAGGCGACTATGCCTTCGGCATGATGCAGCGTGAGACAGGCACCCACAGGCCTGCTCTAGAGATTTGAGATGAAACCTGACTGGCAACCAGATGCAGTAGGTGCCCACTTTGGTCTTTACCCTTTATCTCTGCAATTTCATTTGATGGATTTGCCAGCACGCTGTGGCCGCTGCGGGTTGGTGAGTCTCTACCAGCTATCCCGAGCCAGCAATCACAGCAGAGGTTGGTTCGCATTTGGAATGGCAAGCGCCAGACCACTTTCGCAGGAGTGGAGGCAAGCGGAAGCTGAACCACGCCATTTGTTTGAGCAGAAAACTTTGACTGTCCTGGCTATCATTATCAACATGTCATTATTAGATAGCAGAGTTGCCACATAGAAAGATCGGGCTGGGAATGTTTAGCCCATGATTCCCATGATTGCCGATTGCCTGTGAGGTGGTGCCTGTTTTGCCAGACGACACTGTCGGTGATCTAGAGATTGACCCCAAGGATCTGCAGCGATCTTGACACGATTGATGCGGCACCATCAACATGTGATATACCATGGTAGACCCCAATATTTTGATGGGGAAAATCATGGGAACCATCAGTTGGGCGCCCTGTTTTCAAGCGAGCCCATGTTGCTTGATACTGGTTGATGACACACTTGACACTTTACAGTGACTCCATGCAATCTTTCCAAATCCTTTCGGTGCCAGGTGGGAGACCTTCAGATCTGGGGGCAAGGGTGGTCAGAACGTGAACAAACTTGAGACAGGCCCAGTTGGTCCACTGTGCCAAAATGGGTTTGTCATGGTTTGTCCATGTTTGTCCGAAAATCCAAATTTTAAGTTTTAGTGGGGAAAAATGAATTGACATTAGATCATATTAAATCAACCCTTGAATTGACATGTTTTCAGACAAACCCGGCAAGCCCGACCGTTGAAGTTGCAGGTCGCAGGATCAGGATAGCAGATGATAGCAGACGGGGGTGCTGGATGATAGATCCAAGATGATCTAAGCAGATTACGGTGTTTTGGGGATGCAATTTTGGACGACTGGCCTCTCGAGGTGTTCGGGTGATTCATGTCCCGTGAAGTCCTCAGAGTGCTTCAGGACCAGGTGGCTATGACAAATTAACGATCATTGACAGTCTCAAATGAGGAAAAGTCCTACAAATAGACCAAAATGCAGTGCACTCATGAGATGGTATGGTATGGTCTGGTATGGTGTTCAAGATTTCAAGATGGGTGTTCTATGGTGTTCTGGTTTCAGCAACGGTAGCTTTCCATTCTTGCCGTCATTGAGGAGCGGGATCCGTGTGAGATGTACAGCTGAACGCAGCCAACAGGACAATCGCTCCAAGGCAAAATCCAAGGGCGATGGGAGCGGGGGAGCAACTGGTTGTAGGAAGCTACTGGCAAATCCAAAGCTGCAACTTCTCAATACTCTTAAAGTGCTTGGATATGCTTGGATACATTGAGACCGTTCCCATTTTATAATGTCATGCATAGAGCAACACCTCAGGATCACTCTAGCTGACTCTAGCTATCCGAAGTTTCCAACTCCTTGGAATTGAAGGGGGCAATTTGGAAGCTGGAATTCAAGAGGTGGAAATACATCCTTTTCATAGCGCATGCAGTCAGTGATGTCTGGATTGCGGACCTGGTTCCAGGCTCTTGCCTGGCTGAAAGCAAAGCTGCTACTCATCCAGGTTGGACCATGCAGCGATGGAAGACTTTCATCGTTTGATCATCTTTTGCTTGAAACTTAAAATAAATTGAAATATAAGACCTGCAACAAACCGCTGAGAGGCCCTCAAAGTTGATTCGAGGGTTTATATTTCTGGTTTGCGCTGCAAGGAACAGCAGAAGGTACAGGAGTTGCAAGCGATCCGGGGCGACCTTGTCTCCGCGGAGTGTCTTGTTTGCAGTGCAGTTTTGATGGCCATCTTGGCCTTTTATTGCTGAGATGTGTGAAACAAATCAAGACTTATTTTATTTATCATATTGAGACATATTGAGACATATTGAGACTATTGAGACTGTACTACGGTGCAGTTCCAATGCTTGATTGATAATATTTGACAAGCACAGAAAGGTCCAGAACGTCCCAGAATGCTGCTTTGTACGGAAGTGTTGCCACCCTTTGCTGGGTGTATAAGCAGAGAAGCTAGGTCCAGTGCAAAGTTGAAGCTCTTGATTTGAGTTGTCTCTCGACATCTCTCGACACTCAGGTGGGGTGCACAGGTCCGGAACTATGTGCTACAACCCTACACTATGGTGAAGGACTTCGCATGCAATCGTTGACGCTAAGAATCAGCAAGGCATTTCAAATGTTCCAGCTGTGCTAATACAAAAGTCTAGAGTCTACACACAAACGAATATCCAGCATATCCAGTATGAATCCAGTATGAATGCAAGATATTGAAAGGTGTTTGTATGTGTTGGTGCAAAGGATTGGAACTAGATGGGCTTTGTAGCACAGTCCATGAGTGGGTGCCAGAAGCAGGACGTCAGAAGTGGCCACGAGCGTGGAGATGCAGATCGAGTTCTCAACGGCGCATCTCAACAGCATGGAACGCCAGTTTTTCATCAAGTTTTTTCGCCAGAAAAGTGTTGGTGTCAGCAAACCTGCATGATATATCATGATATATCATGATATACTGTGAATGTATGTAAATATTTCATATATGATATCCGTCGCAGGTGTGACAATGTGACAATCATGCATTGCCAGTCCTTCAGGATCTGGAGTCTCATGTGGACGCCCTGCTGCGGATGGGAGCCAATTCGAAAGCCGCGTGACGCCGCGGCGTCCGTTTCAGCAAGAATTTCGCAGCTTTTTACTGGGTATGAGTCAGAATTACTGGATTGCCATGGATTGCCATCAGATGGTTTATACCAAATCTTATCAAATTTTGCTTGTCACAAATTTCGACCCATACCCTTGACAGTTTTCGTCGATTTTCCTGCTTGTTCTTGCCCCAAGCTGTGTGCGTCCAAAAAGTGGCTGCCATGATGTGCAGTGTCTGTCTTAGAGTGACCAACTGTTTGCTTGTTGTGCTTGTTGTGGATACAGTAGAAACTTTGCTGTGTATATATATATATACATATTAGCATGTCTCTCTACCATGTTTTTGGGCTATCTCTTTAGGCACTGTTTTACAATTTTTGTTCCTAACTTTTGGTAATGTTTGTCCCTAACTTTTCGGAATTTTGGAATTTTTGTCCCCAACTTTTGGCAATTTTTGTCCCCAACTTTTGGTGATTTGGGAATTTTTGTCCCCAACTTTTGGGATTTTTTGTCCCCAACTTTTGGTGATTTGGGAATTTTTGTCCCCAACTTTTGGTGATTTGGGAATTTTTGTCCCCAACTTTTGGGATTTTTTGTCCCCAACTTTTGGGAATTTTTGCCCCCAACTTTTGGGGATTTTTGCCCCCAACTTTTAGGGATTTGGGAATTTTTGTCCCCAAAAGTTGGGGACAAAAATTCCCAAACAGTTGGGGACAATAATTCAATTCCTATGGGAATAATTATTGTCCCCAACTTTTCCCATAGGAATTTAATTATTGTCCCCAACTTTTTGGGAATTTTTGTCCCCAAAAAAGTTGGGGACAATAATTCAATTCCTATGGGAATAATTATTGTCCCCAACTTTTTCGGTTCGGAAAAGTTGGGGACAATATTTTTTCCCATAGGAATTGAATTATTGTCCCCAACTTTCTGGGAATTTTTGTCCCCAACTTTTGGGAATTTGTGTCCCCAACTTTTCGGGGTAGTAACCCCCTCGATGCTGGAAAATGTGTTGTCTATATGAGTATAACTAATGATGGTGGACGCAGTTTTCGGTGTTGGGGTAGTAGCCCCCTCGACTCTGGAAAGTGTGTTGTCTATATGCATATGATGGTAGATAAACATCAAAGAAAACAACAGAGGGGATAGGATAGTCGGCACATTTTTCAGTGTTGGGGTAGTAGCCCCCTCGACGCTGGAAAATGCGTTGTCTATATGAAGATAATGATGGTAGACAAACATCAAAGAAAGGAACAGAGAGGGGATAGGATCGACGGCGCATTTTTCAGTGTTGGGGTAGTAGCCCCCCTCGACTCTGGAAAATGTGTTGTCTACATGAGGATAATGATGGTAGATAAACATCAAAGAAGACATCAGAGGGAATAGCATAGTCGGGACATTTTTCGGTGTTGGGGTAGCAGCCCCCTCGACACTGGAGAATGTGTTGTCTATATGGGTATAATTATTGATGGTAGATAAACATCGAAGAAGGCACCAGAAGGGATAGGATAGTCGGCACATTTTCAGTGTTGGGGTAGTAGCCCCCTCGGTACTGGAAAATGTGTTGTCATGTGTTGTCTATATGAGGATGATTCATGGTAGAAGGGTCCGTCAAGTCAAACCTATGAAACTTATTATGCTGCAAGCATCTCCGCCCTGATGATGGAGACTGAAAGCATCTAGGAAATTTCAGCATCAATGGTAGTAGTAACCACCTCGATGCTGGAAACATCTCCACCGTGAAGGATATACAGACTTAACGGTGACTCAGACTTCCCTTGTGAATCTTCGCTCGGCACCAAGGACAAGTTGCCGCCCTTCAAGCGCCTGAGCGACAAGGGGATGCAGGAGATGTCACTGAAGAATCTGCCAGGTGTCGCCGGCCATGGGTGGGTCACCGCGCTTAAATTGGTAAGCGAACCACGACGGTGTGATCAGGAACCGATGGGAGGTTTGACATGGTTTCAGCAGGGAAAATTGATGTGTGTGTGGATGGTGGTTTTGATTTGTGGTCCATCTCATGGAAGATTCCAACTTTTTTCTGGAGGATTACGCAGTGATAACTTCGGAAGTAGAAGAACCGATTACAAGACTCAAACATGCTGGTGCTGAGACGTCAATTTTATTTGTGGTTGAATTGTGAAAACCGTTATTCCACAAAGATTTTTTTTTATGTGTCCACGACTTGGATTGCGACTTTAAACCACATGAGCATGCCACGTTGCGTCTAAAAGCGCGCTAAAATATGACCAGGTATGGCAATCTTCGCAGGGGAAACGGTGAACCATGATAGCAATGTTTAAAATGCAATTTAAGGATAGCGGCAATCAAAGGTGTTGGGACCGCAACCCACTTGCCATGTTTGTTCCGAAGATATCCTACCAGACACCCCATATGAAAAAGCCTCTCCTGCAATCGTTGTCTTTGATTCTCCAGGTCACTTCTCCGGCATGAAGTTGCCACCCAACGCAGAGCAGCTCAAATCCTTTGGGCCTTCGCAAGTTTGGTCCCTTGGCCGAGCGTCTGGAGTGCTAAGGAATGCTAAGTTAACTTGGTTCGTGCAACAGCACAAATTTGGATGATGACTACATTGTACATCATTGTACCACTTATACCGGACATACCGGACACCCCATATTTGGATAGTTATAGACTTGAAAGATAATCGCCGACTACTTGAGCCATATTTCTAGGACAGGTGGCTCTGACCGCCCATATTTTAGCCGGTTCCGTAAGAGGTGATGGATTGCCGTTTGCTTCCAATATTCTCCCTGCCCTGAAAAACCCAAGCTCCCAAGCTCGCCCGGCGCCCTCACCTGCGACGCAAGATGGTCGGACCTGCCCAGCTCGTGGTCTACGGCCTCAAGGTCCGCAAGGACGGCAACACGCTACAAGAGACCCCGCACCAGCCAGCTCCTGGCCGAGTGTAGCCAGTACCCGCCTAGGAACTCTGAGCAGCGCGAGCGCCAGACGTTCCAGGACCGACCGCCGTGCATGCAGCAGCAACTCAGATATAGAATATAGAATTAACTAGCACGAATGATGCATCATCATTTATCTTGATTCTAGCACAAAGTGCTGGAGCAAGTATACAGTAGGTTGATCACCGATGCCCCGATGCATCTCCTCGAAAACAACGAATTGAGAACAGACTTTATGAGGTCTAAAAAAATAACAACATCTAATGTTTATAGAAAAGACAGGATATAACGATCGGCCTGTCAGGATTGAGACATCTCTGCGTGCAGAAAGATCAATGGATGCAATACAAAAGGGAAAAAATCGAACAAAGAGGTTACACACCTACAGTATAGATCCACTGTTTATGTAAATATCATGCAACATATATATATATATACATATATATCTGTATGTCTCTACGATCTAGCTATACCTATCTGTATAAGACCAGACCCCTTAAATTGGACCCCCCTGAACTGACTCGCATCGAAGGACGTGGTTGCGGGCACGATGCTGGAACTCGAACGAGTCCGGCGTGTGAAAAGTGTGATGCAAAGAGCCGGCCGGAGAGCACTGAAGGCAGAGAGAGCCCGCAGCAGGCACACAGCCTGGGCGAGGCGGGCGCAACGTCAAGTACGCGCCCTCCTTCAAAGGGTGCAAGAACTGGACAACCAAGCCTGAGGCCGGGGAGTGGGGCTGGGGCCCGGAAGGCGCACGAGCACTCAGTTACAGTAACTTTTCGCGAAGGGCGGCTTTCCATCTTCCATGTGACGATGTTTCAAACCCTTATACTTATAAGCATTGGTGTGCAACTTCAAGACTTGGCATTCGAAATTCCTATTTGGCAAGACTAGTTGTATATATTAAAAGCCCGGTCTTTACATCCTGGACACCCCGAAAACATTGACGCTACACCATGATATAGATCGAAGGATGTAGTGGCCATTGTAGGATCATCGGTATATTTGACATTCTGTGTTTTTTTTATTGCTCCGTCTGTTTACGTAAATTGAAACCTGATTATATATGAAATATATAAACATATGAATAGAAAAAGAATCCCTAAGATCTTCAAAGGTCTTATATATATATGTATGTATGTATGTATGTATGTATGTATGTATGTATGTATATAAACAGATCTGATACTACCAGCCCACGAATCAAAATCCCGCTACCTCAGCACCATCATGGCACCATGTAGACCTCTGAAGTCAAGAAAGAGACCCCATCGCTATACAATCCCAGAGCAGATGTGTGATATTATACTATGCACCGATCTAAAGATGATGCAGATAGAGAGAGAGAGAGCGGCGAGAGAATGAGAATGCGTCCTTACATGAATGCACGCATATAAACATCTTGTAATGATACCGGACGACGGAAATTTTCCAAAAGAAATCGAATGACCTTGTCGCCCTGCCAACGCGCCACGCCGCAGGAAAAGAGCTGAGACCGGCACAGTACAGAAGTCGCCGCACAGGCCCCCCTCCCACTGGACGAGCACAAAGCCGTCCGGTGGGAGGGGGGTGACAGGCGCAAAAACAACACCAAGAGCAGAGCAAGGCAGCGAGAGAAAAAAGACGATGTTCTGACGAAATGGGATTTACCCCATGAAGAGAAAGTCGATGTTGTTCATCCCCTGCAACAAACTGTTCTGATAAAAGGGCGAATTTTATCTCCCGAATGCAGCCAGCTGGATGGCTGGATGCCGACGGTGATGGGGGGGGAATGGTGAATGTGTTTCCATGCCTCAATCAGACATGCCATCACCCTTTTATTTATCTGCTCATCTAGAACAATGGTACCCCCATTTTTGCCTGAATTTCTCCACCCCTGGTAAAGCGATTGCATTCAACGTATGTTTAAATGAGGTGGATCCCGTATGTTGAAATGGCCGGGGCGGGCCAGGGCGAACCTTTCCCGAGGTAGAATGAAATACCTGGAATAATCATCCCAACACCACCGTCATATTTTCCAGGGTAGGGCTCGACCACCCAGCTAGTATATAGATTCCCACTTGATGGCCGACTGAGAGCCCAGGAACTGGTTGGACCTCACCGTGGTTCTCTTCTCCTTCATGGAACTGCTGGCGGCTTCAATCCCGGGCAGTTCCACAGGGACTTGGACCGTCTTCGAATGCATATAACATATAACTATATATAGCTTATATATATATACATACACTTTTTGGTTATATAAATATATAATCATGTATATTATATATATATAGATATTTATTTATTTACAGTATACATATATATTGTGCGGAGACATGCTCCAAAGAGATCCCAGTCCACATTGCCGGATCCTTTGTTTGGCCTGAATCCGGCAGTATTTCAGTGCTTCTGGCATCCTTAGGTAGCAAGATTTGCAAGACCTGTGGCCTGCATTGCAAAGACTGTCAAGGGCATCTGGGGCCCGAAGTCTCAGCCCGGACTAGGGCTAGGGCCTGACCCGAGGTTAAGTCACGACGGGGGTACCCCAATAGCTGGATGGTTTATGGTGGAAAATCAGGGGGGTTTCATAAATGGGGGCACCCCCACATGATGGTTTATAATGGAAAATACCATTAAAATTGATGATTTAGGGGTACCCCTATTTTTGAAATCCACCCACATCATTTCAACGTTTGATATGTTGGGGATGATCATAATCCATGAAGCTATGGCCATCTATAACCAGTAAAAACTGGTTATAAATGGGATTATACATCCCATAAATTGGGTTAAAAAGTATTTGTAACTGATACACGGCCACAACTATGGGTTTCTGATAATTAAACTCGGGTTTATATCTCATTCGTGAGTCTCAACCCCCCTTATGTCGTCAGTGGCGAATTTTTGATCCGTTGTGAAGATAAAGTTGATATTATTATCTTCGTCAAAATTCGTTATAAAGTGTGGCGAATTTTGATCCCTCATGAAGATAAATTCGATGTCGGTGCCACCCCCTTTAACAAAATGGCCATAGGAAGTAGCGAATTTTGAATACTCATGAGTATGAAGTTGCTGGAGGGTTCAATCAAGCCCAGATAAATTTCCATCGGGTCTATTATTGGCATCAGATCCTTTTTTTTCTAGATACAGTAGATATGAGAGGTCGTTTTGTTTTTTATCATCTGACCGTCCGTGGGGGGAGCGAAGCGCTCCGGGTGCAGAAGTTTCCAAGCAGGCACATCCCCACGGACGGTAGATGCAGACATGCTAGATATAGACGCATTATGAATACAAAAGATACATTTTTATACGGTAAGGGAGAAGCGGTGAGGAGCGAAAGGGGCCTTCGCAGAGCGCAAATAAGCACACTGCCGTTTCCCCCAAAAAATATACATGGGAAAAAAAATCAGTCAAAAAGCAAAAAGACAAACGAAAGCGTAGATAAGGCCCCAAAAATAGAACCATCCAAAATAGAAGATATTTAACTGGAATGAAACCTTATGATTACGTAATGTAATTATATAATGATTACCTTGCCTGGCGTCGCCGTTTTTATTATTCTGTTTTTGGCTAGGCGCGCCTCCCTTGGTAATCATTAACTATTCGTTTTTCAAAGGGGCAATGTGGAAGGAACGGTGCTTGGTGAGAGAAAAAAAATCAGCCTGCTATTTTTTGACCTTTTTTGCGTGCTTGGAAAATGAAGAAAAGAAAAAGAAAAAGCCGCGGAATCTCGAAGCCTTCAAAATTGAAATCTTTCGCCAACCACACCGTGCACCGCCGATAAAAACTACTCACGGAACCGTCAGGCTCTTGCAGCCCTGGTAACCACAGCTTCAGCAAACTGGAACCTTAAGGTCACAGCCTTAAAGCTGTATGTATACATTGCTCTCCCATGAAAGCAAACGAAAGCAAACGACGCCCCCTCAAAAAAAACAGATAAAAAAAAGGTAAACCCTGACGGGATCTTAGAACGCCTTTCATTGCCGCTGAATCTTTCTCTTGCATCTCCAGCACCCTCTTGCTAACCTTGAATTTCAAATCGCTTTTCAATGAAAAACAGCTACCAACCGCGAACCTGGACAAGAGCGCAAGATTAATTGACTAGTCAGCACCATGAGCCGCGACGCTAAAAAGAAAAAGCCTGATTCTGCAGGATCTCGGGTGACGCTAAAACTGTCGCATTGGCTGCTGAAACCGCTTTGAGCCATCAATGCACATCGATCTATCTATCTATCTATCTATCTATCTGAAAAAAAGCAAAAACTATCAAACGAACAAAAATTGCAAGGCGCAGGGAAGGGCAAAACCCAAGGAGCCCCGCTTGTATCCACTAGACGAAGGGAAGAGCCCCCGCCTGGGTGATCAATAAAACCCTTCTGTCCATGACGTGGTACAAGTGCCCTGCGGAGGGGGGCAGGTCCAAGATCGAATGGACCTGACCCCCCGGCAAAGGGCTGATGCACATCAAATGAAAAATACAACGAGGATGATTTAGACAACGCATTTTTTTAGTTTCGGGGTAGTAGCGCCCCCCCACGATACTGTGAAAATGTCGCGTCTACGACCATGATAGAGAAAAACAAACCACATGTAAATCCAACCAAAGGTTGGGGACAAAAATTCCCAAATCCCCAAAAGTTGGGGACAAACTTCCCAAATCCCTAAAAGTTGGGGGCAAAAATCCCCAAAAGTTGGGGACAAAAATTCCAAATTCCCCAAAAGTTGGGGGCAAAAATTCCCAAAAGTTGGGGACAAAAATTCCCAAAAGTTGGGGACAAAAATTCCACAATCCCCAAAAGTTGGGGACAAAAATTGCCAAAAGTTGGGGACAATAATTACCAAACTTAGGGTCAATAATTACCCAAACTTGGACAAAATAGCTCTAAAGAAAACGTGGTAGAGCGCCATGCTAAAAAAAAAAAAATATATATAAGCCATTCGTAGCCTACTTTAACTTTGTTTCTTCCAAGATTCTAGTTTTGGCGAGCTGAAACCTTTGCCACTTGCACAGCTTTGCATCCTCCTTGGCATTGCGCTGCCGTCAGCTGCTCAAATTATCGTGGCCTTGCAACCGCTGGACTTGGGTTAGGCCAGGAATATGCCATTCGAGATAGAACTGTAGAACTCATAATCCACATTGCTCTGCCTTGGAGAGAATTGCAAACATGAGAACATATGAAAACACACTTTGACTTCTATGAGAGATTGAAACACAGATACTTAGAGACTTAGACAAGACTTAGATACTTGTGATTTTGGAGGTAGCTTCACTCGACATGCTGCGACATGCCTGGAGAGTCGCCTGAGTCTTTGTGACGGCTTATTTTGGCTCATCTTGGCTCTTCTTGGCTCAAGCCAGAGGAAATCTTGTGGATTTCAGGAAATTTCAGGTGTTCGTTCGAGTGTTCTCGCCTGCATCGCCATGCCACGCGACAAGGACGTCTACTTTGCCAAGCTTGCGGAGCAGGCGGAGCGTTACGATGACATGGCCGACTACATGCAACTTGGCAACACCAGTGACAGAAATAAATTAGATAAACAACATTAAACAACCAACATCAATCAACGATGTTTAGACATGCTTAAATCAGGAATCATGTTTTTCTATAGAGCTGTGTCATTGCACCGTTTTTTTTTTGAACATGTTTGAACCACCTGTTTGGACAGACTTAGAGTTGAGATCATTTGATGCTGATGGTGCTGTTCTGCTGTGAGGAAGGCGGTGGGCGACGACGGCAACGAGCTCTCCGTTGAGGAGCGCAACCTGCTGTCAGTGGCCTACAAGAACACGGTGGGATCCCGCCGCGCTGCTTGGCGCATCATTTCGAGCGTCGAGCAGAAGGAGAAGTCCAAAGGCAACGAGGCACAGGCAGGCTATGCCAAGGACTACCGCGTGAAGGTGGAGGATGAACTGCAGAAGATTTGCGACACCATCCTGAAGCTCTTGGATCAGGGCCTCATCCCAAAAGCCACTCAGGCAGAGTCCAAGGCCGGCCACTTTGGCTAAAAACGTGTTTGCACCGTATGTTTTGCCCGTTTCTCAACGGTGGGTGACCCTTTACAAACAGCACATAAAAGCACTCCACTCCAGTTTTTGATTACCCTCTTTTGGTGGTCTTTGAAGCTATTGGTTCTGTGGCTAACCTTTTTGTATCTAACCTAATTTGCTTTTTGTATCTTTTTGTAAGGAATCCTTTTGAGCCTGGCTATGTTTTTTTTGTAGTGCTGGGGGGGTTGTACCCAGCCAGAAGGTACCTACAACAAGGGGGCACAACCTCTCCCCCCAAACTTCAACGGGGATCATATTAATACATATTATAATATATATATATATATATTTATTTATTTATTTATACATCTTATAAATTACATTCGCTTGACCACACTCAAAAAGGAAGGAAAAGTGCAAAATGTAAAGCCTATGTCCGTCCATGCAAAGTGGCAGCGCGTGAACCTCTCATGATTACAAGTGTTTAGAGAAGATTGGTTGATTCCAGTTCCCGTTTGTGGGCACACCACAAGCAATGGTGACAGGTATTCTACCAGAAGATGAAAGCTGACTATTACCGCTACATTGCAGAGTTCCGCAGCGGTGATGAGAAGAGCAAGGCGGCCGAGGAGGCTCGCAAGGCTTATGCCGATGCTGCAAAGGTGGCCAAGGATGACCTGGCCGTGACCCGGCGACGAGCAAATCGAATTTTCTCTTTTGGTTAGTCTTATCTCGTTTTCAAAAAAGACAGATTCAGCATGATTAGAAATGATCAGCTTGACAATCGGGGATTCATCACAATGATCGTGGGGATGCTTCAGTTTTGTTTCATGACACGAAGTCGTGTATTTGTACGGCCTATATTCTGGTCGCTTCGCGACGATAGCGGCCCGCACCGGAGTGTTGGCTCCAGAGTTCCAAGACAACATCTATGTTCTATGTTGGGCCTTCGTGGGGCCCAAGTTGGGCCCATGTTGGCTCTATGTTGGGCCTTTTTGGGCCGATGTTGGGCCAGGCCTATAATGTGCCCGTGTTGGGCCTGTATTGGGCTTATGGTGAGGCACGTTGGGCCATGTTGAGCCCAAATTTGGCAATTTAGTCGGTTTTAGGTCTCTTTGAAAAAATGGAAGAACACGAGATTCTCGAGCAATAAAGGTCCCGCCCCCCAAACGAAAGTTTATGCACAAAAAACGCCTCCGCACCTTCTATTTTATAATAGCTGGATCCTGGCCCTGACCCATGGCCTTCAGAGGTAATGAAAAACGGGTGTCAAAAACATCAGGCCCTTGGTGATGTTGACTCATAAATCCCAATCTTCACCCTTACAACCAAACTACTTTACGATCTTCTCCAGCCCTAGAAATTCCAACCTATATCAAGTTTGGAGTGTTCTGAGGTTGGACAGATTTCCAGGTTGGATGGTTCCAAGGCTTGGCAGGTTTCAAGGTTTGAAGGTTCCAAGGTTGGAGGGCGGCAGGGTTGGAGAGTTGCAAACTCGGAGAGCTCAAGGGTTGCTGGAAACCCTCCCAGGGTTGGAGGTTTTCAGGGTTGGATCGTTTCAAGGTTGGACAGTTGGAAAACTCCTGGTGGGTTCAAGGGTTGGAGTTGGCGTTCCAAGGTTGGAATATGTTGGAATGTTCCAAGATTTCCAAGGTTGAAAGGTTCCAGGGTTGGAGGTTTCCAGGGCGTCAGGGTTGGAGTGTTGAGTTTGGGAGGGTTCCACGGTTCGAGTTGCTAGGCGGGCGCTTCAAGATATGGAGTGGTATTGTAGATGAACAGATCACGATGGGTAGGGAAGGTTAGGTGGCAGCCTCATTTTGGTAGGCTACTTCCGGTAGACTTCCGATTGCTTAATCGACTTACTTAATTCGACTGTCCGTTTCTGTTTCCGAATGTTCAAATTGACATAAACTGACAAGGCGGCCCTGAGCAACATACAATACCTATGGATACCTATGGACTATTATTGGCTAGTGTATTGAATATTGACTATGGATTTCTTTTAAAATCCAACTGTTTCAAATCTACACGTACATGTTTGTTCCAATAATTCCGCGGTAAGGTGACTCATCCTATTCGCTTGGGCTTGGCACTGAACTACTCCGTGTTCATGTACGAGGTGCTCAATGATCCAGATGAAGCGTGCAAGATGGCCCGCACTGCATTTGAGGATGCCATTGCCGAATTGGACAACGTGGCTGAAGATTCCTACAAGGACTCGACGCTGATCATGCAGCTTTTGCGAGACAACCTTACCCTCTGGACTTCTGATCAGGAAGCCGGAAATTGAGGCTATAATTGATGGGCAGTCAGCAAGAGTACAATACGACAGTTGTGAATAGCTGATCTGCCACGCCTTGGGAGATTGGGGGAACCATACAGAAGGCAATGAGTAACACTGTGCCGAAGAAAAAAAACCTCGTGCAAGCTTGCGACTAGAGATTCGTTGAGACTTTATAGTGTTTGAATGTCTAAAGCACGGATTGCCATAAATAAACCGCTTTCCTTCTGAGACTTGAAGCTCTTAAGAATCCAACGATTCTACAGAAACGCATCAGACCAGAAACAGAAAACGACAGAGATGAAGTGTCAAACCTTGGCATTTGATATGTTTTGGCAATTGCTTGCAATAGGCATGGCACTGCCGGGAGCCTTGGAGTACAATGACCAAGGTTTGCTCATGAAAACTGCATGGACTACCTGACGTAAATTGTGATCGTTTTTTTGAAGTCGATGAGAAAAGAACAACACCGGTCCAGAAGAGAATGCCGGCGTTATTTGCCAACGTTTCACTCGCGGAACGCTTTAAAATAGATGGACAGAAGGAGTGTCATGTGGCTAGTTACAGTAGATACAGTACATAGTACAAAAGCCATAGTTTCCACAAAGAAACCTTTTTCTTAACTCCTTTTACACAAACTGGTGGGGTGATTTCATGGATACTTTGCGTGAATTCACCATTTGAACCCATTTGACTCCTTTAATACTTCTATCCATAGGCTGTGAAAGATAAAAGCATCGGAATGTTGTCCGGCCACAGCACTCTTGGGCAGTGGGTACTGAGGTTTTGCTGCTGTGCAACACCCGACAATGCCACGGGTGTTGCAGAAGTGCCAGCAATTCAAGCAATGCCAAAAATTGATCCCGCATTGGAGGTTCGACAGGACGCAGCTGACCCAGTTGGGGGGGTTGAGATGGTGGTATAGATTCTGCTGACAACATCCATGGAACTCATAACGCATATGCAGTATGCCTAGTATGCAAATGCTTGCCATGTTCGAGAAGCAGGTCCACTGAGCCAAAAAAAAGAATGGTTTCTAGATTCTACAGTGTTTGAAGCTTGGGATGAAGTAAATTGATGACTTCATTCCATTTTTCCGCCTATCAGCGTCAGCTTCTACCTGGTACCAGGGTTTGGTTGGATTGTTGAGCACACAGCGTTTGGCGGCTAAGAATTGAGCTGGTGCATGTTTTGGGCTGCTGTTTGTTGTGCTTTTTGTATTTCCAGGGTGACGTGGGGCAGGATGTGGAATCGACAGCACTGGAGGCTTTGCAAATCGCGAGTGTTGCTGATCAGTTCTGGAGACACAGTATGGCGTCAAGTATTGTAGACACAGTCCATGTATATTTAGAAAAATCTTGGAAACTTCTGTCACACACCTTGTGTGGGCTCTACTGACATAGTCCTTATCAGTCCTTCAACTTCCATTGCAGAGAGACAGCGAGAGAGAGAGAGAGAGAGCACTTGTAAAAAAAGGTACAAGTATAAAAGTATATAATATATATATAGTATACGTAGACTTCTTGAATCAGTTTGGAATGTCTTCAAACTCTGCAGACCCCGCATGCTGGATCGAACACATTTTCCTTTCATCCTAGCTGGGTCATGCTTTGTTGGTTGGTCAGCCTCGCAGGCAAAGAGCGCAGCTCCCAGCTTTGGATCATTCACAGTTGTCCTTCGAACACAGGAGAAGAACCTGAAGGGCTGGAAGATGTCAGAGGTGTAAGCGAAGGATGTTCTTAATAGAAGGGTGCAGAGTTTCTCGCCGCGTTGTAACGGTTGTGTATGTTGTGTATGTTGTGTGGGGCCACAGCTTGGCAGGGGACTACCTCAGTCCCACGGAGATCGTGCCGGGCGCAGGAGCACGCAACACTTGGCTTGACCATTGATTCGACCAGTGACAAAGCACCTCCGATGATCACGGAGATCTCGGAGGGTGCCGTTGCAAAGTTCAACAAGCTGCATCCAGAGAAGGCATGGCGCTGCATGGGCATGGGTGGTGTCGTTAAAGCATATTGAAGCATGGATGTTGCAACAATTCCTTCCCCATTACATGCACCCTGGAGCCTGGAACCCTGGGTTTTGTTCTTGATTTGTTCGTTTTCGGAGACCAAATTGGGGTCATCTAATGTTAAGGGGTCATAAATTATGAGTGCAGAATAGAAGAGCCCACAGGTGCCACTGGGCATGCGACTTTGTTCGGTACGCGACTCACGTTTGACCCTACCCCAATTGTTGGTTCAGAATTCGATTCTGCGATGTGCACTGATTTCTTGCGCACAGGACGATGTCTCGTTTGTAAGTCCTACATGTGCTCGCTTGTAACTTCAATATGTATCCGCGAATAACCCGAAATTCATCATCATCATCATCATCATCATCATGAATCATGAATCATGAATCATGAATCATGAATCATGATCATTATCATCACCATCATCATCATCATGAATCATGAATCATGAATCATCATCATCATCATCGTCATCATCATCATCATGAATCATGAATCCTGATCATTATCATCACCATCATCATCATGAATCATGAATCATGATCATTATCATCACCATCATCATCATCATCGTCATCATCGCCATCATCATTATCAACATCATGAATCATGATAATCATGAGTCATGAATCATGATCACTATCCTCACCATCATCATCATCATCATGAATCATGAATCCTGATCATTATCATCACCATCGTCATCATCATCATCATCATCATCATGAAACATGAATCATGATCACTATCATCACTATCATCACCATCATCATCATCATGAAACATGAATCATGATCATGATCATTATCACCACCACCACCACCACCACCATCATCATCATCATCATGATGTTGGAGTGCAAGTGAAAGAAGATCTCCTAGGGTAGCAATGCCTAGCATCTGGCCTCTGTGCCAGGAGCCAAAGGACATTATCACATCCATCCCGCCCAACCCCACCTCCAGGCCAGAGCCAGGAGAACATGTCGGTGTGCAAGTGCAAGAGAAGATCTCCTAGCGTAGCAATGCATAGCATCCAGCCTCTGTGCCAGGAGCCAAAGGACGTCATCACACCAACCCCACCCCAACCCCACCCCAACCCCACCCCAACCCCACCTGTGTGCCATTGTTGCTTTGTGTGTCAGTGAACGTTAACATCCCACCCCACCCCCAACCCCACCTGTGTGCCATCCTTGGTTTGTTAGTGAACGTTAACATCTCACCCCACCCCAAGCCAACCCCACCCCAACCCCACCTGTGTGCCATTGTTGGTTTGTGTGTCAGTGAAAATTCACCCCACCCCACCCCAACCCCCACCTGTGTGCCGTTGTTGGTTCGCCTGCCAGTGAACATTAACATCCCACCCCACCCCAACCGCATCCCAACCCCACCTGTGTGCCATTCCACGATCGCAACCCACACTTTGTGCGAGTCTGCTTAGTCGAAATGAACTTGGACATTTCACAAGAGCCACTTTATGCGGAAATTCACAGGAAAATGCCGGGGCCCAGAAGCGCGACGCAGACTTTGTGCGAGCCTGCGCAGTCGAAACGCGCTTGGACATTTCACAAGAGCCACTTTATGCGGAAATTTGCAGGAAAAATGCCCGATCCCAGAACCGCGGCGCAGACTTTGTGCGAGCCTGCGCAGTCGAAACGCGCTTGGACATTTCACAAGCCATTTTATTTATGCGGAAATTTGCAGGAAAAATGCCCGATCCCAGAACTGCGGCGCAGACTTTGTGCGAGCCTGCGCAGTCGAAACGCGCTTGGACATTTCACGAGCCATTTTATTTATGCGGAAATTTGCAGGACAAATGCACGATCCCAGAACCGCGAGTCGAAATGAATTTGGACATTGCGTAAGAGCCACTTCATGCAAAAATTTGCAGGTAAAATGCCGCGGATCAGCTGGAGCACCCGGATCGAGCACCGGCCTTTACAATCACCGTAAGAACCCTTCAGTGTGGACACACTGTTCGGGGAAAAGGAAGCTTCCAGTCCGTTGTCTCCCGGTCAGCGACGTTGAAAGCTGATGCACACCGTGGAGGCCAAGACTACTGCAAAGTCCCTTGCAAAAAAGAAACAACTAGGACAACGACTCGGTGAGCGCTGCGAGTGCAGCACGCTGTTTCACAAAATCAGCGCGCTGAGAGCAACGCATCAGAACCATGAAAAAAATGCAAAGTGTGATAATTGGCACTAATTCAGAGTCGTCTCAACATGTTGAACAGGTTTTTTCTTGTTTTGCTACTTATGTTTGTTTGATTTGACGATTCACTCTTCCTTTTGTCCGCCTTTTCAGGCTATTCAGCCTCATGACGTGGTATCAGCCATGGATGATGCACAAACCATTTTGGAAGTCTGTGAGAAATTGCCACTTGGAGTGGATATTTGGGCACACAGACTGGCCAAAAAGGAAAGCTGGGGAAGACGCGTGTTGGCAATGGCACTTTGTTAGCACCACCACTCGACCCCAACAACATATTTGTCTAAAACAATAGGCAAACAAAAAAAATTATAGTGATTGACTGGAAGTCGCATAATTTGCATGTTTCTAAGGGTCGTAATGTTTGCTTTGCTGTGTACCGTAGATTGCTTTAGTTACTTTAGTTTTTTCTTTTTGAGACTCCAATCCGTGGCCTTCATGAATCTAAGCTGATCTATTGGTAGGTTGCATATCAAATCCAAGATATATCAGCAAATGTATCGCATTGTATTGCAGTATAGCGTTCCTCATCGTTCAGCTCTGTGTTTGCACGTGCCAAAAGACATGATCATTTAATAGGTCGGTGAACCATGTTGAATTTTTCCCTTGTCAATGGTCATGAGTGTCTTCAAACTCAGGAGCGGTCCTTTGGGTGACTCTGTGAGATTGACGTTGAAACGCCCAAAGGAGGTGAATCTATCACTTTCCAAACCTGGCTCGTACGAAACTTAGCCTGGTGCACCATGATATTTTGTGATGTCGATGATGATGATGATGACGACGACGACGATGACGACGACGACGACGATGATGACGACGACGATGATGATGATCTTATGATGATCTTATGATGAACTTATGATGATCTTATGATGATCTTATGATCCCGTTGCGATCATGATTTTTGTTGCGCGCATGGGACGGAAAATACCTTATGACATTGGTTATTCAATGGCATGAATTGATGGAAAATATTGGTGTGCCTTCAGCCGTCTCTTTCTACTTGCCTTCCATGTTTCCTGGATAGCATTCTTCAGGCTTGGCCTCAAGCTAGACTACAATGACACTTCAGTCGGTGCCGTGTGTCTTGACTTCAGACTTGTTGGATCTTGTTGAATTTTGTTGATATGGAACACCCTTTGGCCCGATGACTTGCAATGGCAATGTTTTTTTGAGAACAGGTGCAGCCTGTTTACTGTACAAAGTTGCAAAAACACCAAAACACGGGCAGCAATTCACAGTCTTGGTGTATGAAAAGCCAAGGATTTCAGAACTGGTGGAGTCAGGACCCAGTGGATGTTTGTTGACCGAAGGCAGTCATTGTCACGTTGTCCAAGAATCGATATACAGATATACATTTATATTTGTTTATATTGTGATTCAAGATCAAAATGTAGTGGATTGATCATTGTACTGACGTATTCATATCATCCATGAGAAGGATGTTGTCATGTTTATTCAAAGATATGACATGATATGACTATGACTATGACCCATGACAAGCATCGATCATTCAACCTGGCCCGGCCATTCGCCTGGCCTGGCCTGCTCGAGTATTCGTTGCCAACGGTGACAGTGCCAGGACTTGTGGCAAAATGGAATTCCGCCATTGGCTTACTTTATTCATCTTTATCTATCTTTATTTACCTTGACTTGCAGTAATTACTCACGAAATTTCTGAACAAAGCCTTTTGAGGCTCACACTCTCAGCAGTGTGTAATTGTTTTCAGTACTTTGTTTCAGCATAAGTGTGCCTTCATATTTGTTTGGTAGAAGATAAATCTACAGATCAAAATCAACTTTGATTAGATGTGCATTGATTCAGCCCAAGTTCCCCCCAACAGCATGCTCTTTGGCTAAGGAGAATGCTTCTGATGCTGTGTGTGTTGGTGATCGAATTATTCAGCTCAACGGAGATCAAATGTCAGGACGGATCAGACCATGTTTCAGGATGTGTTTCCCTTCGAAGACACCATTGTTTTTGCCATAGCCAAAGTAAGCAAAGGGATGCTGCTCACGAGCTTTGATCCAAGACATGGTGGTCTTTTCCGCAAAGCCTCTACCATGGCTACTACAATCTTTCACCACCAACATTACCAGCACTGGTGCCAACTCCACAGCCAGCACCACCAGCAAAACACGACCTTAAACTGCTTTAGATTCTGAAACTGGGACAACAGCAGAGATATGCCAGATGATTTGCCACATCTACAGCATATATATATATTATGTATGTGTATACATATGTATATATATATATACTATTATATATATACTTATAGATATATCACCATTTGGCACCATTTGGCACCATTTGGCACCATTTGGCACCATTTGGCACCATTTGGCACAGGCCAAGTTGAGAAAGAGATGAAACGAGCTTACACACCAGCCGAAGCCGACCTTTACCACAAGTGACGGAAATAACGCACAGAAATGTGACATGGGCACCTCAAGGCGAGTCTCATCCAAGCTTAGTCTAAATGGCTGTCCAAAAGGTAGTGTAGCCACGGCCTTCATAGAATGCGCGCCAGTCAGAAGGAGAGGCTCATGCTTGTGCCAAAAACCAAACACAATTTGTTGCCCAGGTGGTAAGGCTGTAGCAACTGGGGGAACATGCCAAGATACGCAAGATACCTGCGATGGTGTGATCAATGATCGAAGTTCACAAAGTGAAAGACCACGATACACTGCAGTTTCTGGCTGATTGTAGAAAAGTTTGCAAAAGGCAGAAGAGTCCATTTGTTTCCATTTAAACATGTAGTATGATAGTGGTTTGCTTTTAGTATCTTTCAGAGCTTGAAGCTGAGTGGAAGCACCAAGCAAGCAAATTCCAAGTGCGACAGTACTGAAGAGGAAGGATTAACACAGTATTGTCCGCGACCCTTCACACGCGGCCCCGCCTTCAGGTACCGACCTACTAGGAAGATTGAGGACTGAGAACACATTGCGTCTCAAGGTGTTGAAATATTGAGATGTTCCGTTTTTTTCTGGTTTCCGGCCAGTGATGATGGCACGTCTATATATATATATATTTATATTTATTTATTATATATTATATATACACATTTGCAGATACTAATATATAGACACATGTCATATATACGTCTTCCACATTTTTCCGCTTGTTTGTTGTTTCGACGCCTTGGATGCTTAACTTCCTGCTGCTCTGGGCAGCTCTGGGCATCTCTATTTCCAAAGGAAACTCTGTCGAAGTCTCCAGGGCAAAGATCCAGTGGAGTGTCTTGCACCATAGCCGTGGTCAAAAGTTGGATTAGTTAACCCAAAAAACGAAGGATGGTCATAGCGTCATACCACCAGTGAGAAGGATTTACATAATTACCCATTATAAGCCATTGTTAATGATGGTGGGACCACCATAGGCCATATACAATCTTTTGACCGCAGCACCTCTGAAATAGAAAGAGAGCGTGCTGGAAAAAATCTTGTAAATCTACGCATTCTTGCAGGACATTCCGAATCCAGAAATATTCTGAATGAGCCTGTTTGCATCAGAATACGCTGCTCTAATAGCTTCTAGCAATGAATCAGTTATTTGTGATCTTGCACCGACACTGACAACGGAGTAGCAGATGACCCCCTGCAACCTTTGGCTCAGCACGACTCTTGTGCCAGAGCCACCCTAGGACAGCACGGGCGGAGGGACTTTGAACGCAAATCGTGGAGCATTCAGACCAAATATGCACATTCGATGAGCAATAACTTGGGACCTGATGTTGTTGCTGAAGATCAATCGTTGGTGGGGCACTGCTTCAATATTGCTGATCGGAAGTCAAGCATGCAATGCTGCACGCAGCATTTGGACGTGAGATAGGGCAAAGTAAGTGCGCGCATTTGAGCCAAACACTTTGCTCTAGTCGACCAGAATCGACGATGATGTTTCAAAGTTTGTCAAGATAAATATGTTTGATTTCGCATAGTCGCATAGTGTAACATCTCTGTCATTCCAAGCTTGCTGGGACCATCTGGGACCCGGCAGGACAGCGCGATGTACGGAGCTGAGATGGGCCCAAGGAACAAGTGTCGAAGGTGAATACTTTGACATCTGTATATATCTGTATGGTATGAACATACATGAAAAATCATGAAAATATGACTTAAAATAATCTAAAATTATGTATCATATAAATTTATATAATACTGATGTGTTTTTTTCTTATTATTTTTTGTTTGAATGCTCAACTCATTTCTGCTCTCGATTAGCACATTGGTGGCTGCCGTGCCGTGAGGTTTTCGTGCTGCTGCACTGCTGAAGTGAACGAAGGCAGTGTAGAAGTTTCGATCAAACCTATCATCCTTGATGACCAGGCACCACCCGCTCGTGCATCGATACCAAACGGACTATGTTTTGCTGCATTTACCAGCAACTTGCGGAAGAGTTGCTGAAGAGGTTACATAAGATGATTTGATTATCAGCTGTCTTGAAAATCTTGAAGTGTTTTCTTTTTCACTACCACCAACTATCATCGATATTTTTGAACTCTAACAGTCTTACTAGCGATAAAACGAATCTCAACGTAGAGGCAATCTGACTGATCAAAGCCAGGGCCCATGAGGGAATTTGAAAGCTGAACCAGCGCTGAAATGTGTTCACGGCCAGGAAGTTCAACGCCCGAGAGCAGAGCCTTCAAAAATCATTGACAGAGGTGATGAAAAGGTCAGGGATCGTCGGTCATTTTGAGAACTTAGACCAACTCTTGGGGCATTCTGTGACAGATTGTTGAAGGATGTATAATGTACTTTAGACTTTTGTCTTGCCTCATTTCTATTCATTTCTAATATGTCCATTCGCTGTTCAATCATCGAACGGACTTCTTTTCTTGTTCGCGGTGTGCCTCCTACGTACCATACAGTATCCTCCAAGTTTACGTTCATAGTATTTACAGGCCCTAAATATTCTTCTGAGCTCTTGCGCTCCCCTGATAGATCTGATAGTGTCTCCGGGCTCCAAGCTGAACAAAAAAGCAACCACAGTCCACTGCACCACACTCACTCAATCAAGGCTCTGGGAAAGAAGCTTGCTAAGGTAAAAAGATCTAAAAAGTATGAAGACATGATTGCCATCTGTGTTTGGTGCCTCTGCCTGGTGTCCGCTCTTAATGTCCTTTGGCCTTCTCAACAGTCAAGGTGTATCAGATACCGGTGGTGTTCACCGGGTGATGCACGAGTGCACCGGTACTCTGCAAATATTCCATGCGCCATTGCTCAAAATTACAGTAGGATCGGGAAAAAGATGGAAGAAGGATTAAAAGGGGATTGGGAAATATTGAAAACAGAACAACATGACATGAAGAAATTGAGAAGCTGAGCTTTCTTCCAAATTCTCGAAACATCGGCACGATTCGGCACTGGTTAGATCCTGGATCCAAAATATCCGCCCCGTCTCCGTCCAGTGGCTCCACAGGAAGCTCCAAGTCACGGGACTTATACCGTCGTGCTCCCTCCAAACAAGGCATGGGAAGAGTGGGGCATGTGCGGCAACATGTGGGGCAATTGCGTTGCAGGACATTTGGAGTCAGAATAGTTGTGAAATGTTGTGAAGTAGTATGAACATTTATGAACAACATGTATGCATATGAACAATCGAAGGAAGTTTAGAAGTCAAACTTCCGACAATATGGACAGATGAAAAGCAGAGCAGGGAAGAGGCAGAGAGAAGAGAAAGATTAGAAGAAAGAAGAGTAGAAGAGAAAGAGTAAGAAGAAAGAAGATGCAGATGCGAGAAAAGGTAGGAAAGTCGCGAAACACTATGTTTTTCCAATGATTTGGGGCTCCGGAGGGTCGAAGAGTAGGCTCGCCAAAGCGGCGGGTGCGGAGGTCGTCCACAGGCGTTAGCATTTCTGAGAGGATCCTGTGTTTTATCTGCAACCTGCCTCTCCAGGTACTGGCCTGATCTTTCTTTTTCTTTCTGCGCTGGCCTTGTGACCTTGCTGACTTGCTTGTGTTCTCAGTTCATGTAGAGCTTACATGAAGGAATGAAGATTGACCTGGTCACATTTCTAGTGTAGGTTGTTGGTATGTGTGGCTTGGCAGGCGCCGCAGCCGTTTTGAACTTGGCATGATGACTTGACCATCTACTGTTAATCAACTTGGTTGAAATTCTGAGACATGTGACATTCCGGCAATGAATTCAAACAAGCAGCGTCTTCAACATGCACCCCTCTGGTGGCACTGGTAAGCTGTCAAAGGCGGGGTGTTGTTGCCAGTGCTTGCCATCAATGGGAATACCATCATGGTTACGCTTTTTGCGTCACTTTGCTCCCGTACAGGCTGAGAAATTGCAGTCCTGCAGAATGAAGGCTAAACCTCAGGCTCTGGGGGTCCTGCACTCAATTTGTTGTGTTGCATCAATTTTCTTGGCAGGTGTCTCCGATCGCCGCCCGGCCTAAAGCAGACTCTAAGCCAAAGGCTTGCTTGCCATCAGCTGTGATTGACACAGAATTTGACACATGTATTGCCATTATACAGGTGCGCCGGTCAGCTGAAGAAGAGGACTTTCTTTTTTGCTGCTGGCTTCGCCTTGCAATGTGTTAAACATATGCCTTTATCGTGACATGTGAGGAGGCGGCTGCTGCACCCCTGCGAGAAGTCAAGGCTAGATGCATTGAGTTCGGATGTTGTAGCTAGTTGTTGTTTCAGCTGAGCCCCTGTCAGGATATGGCCGTGCAAACGGATTTCTGTGAGATCAGCAAACCGTTGGATATACTGCTGTTATGCGAAAACAAGGCCTGAACAGTTGAGATGTCGAAAAAGTGCACGCCGTTGTGGCGCAAAGCACATTTCCAAGTCAAAATGTACAAAACACTAGGGGTGCGGACCACTTTTGGCAGTTAAGATGTCGAAAAGCTCCACAAAGCACACCATGTACGGACCATTTTTGGAGGTTCAGATGTCGTTTCGCGTGGCAGGCGCAAGTGGACCTTGTCAAAAGTGAGCAAAACGTGAGGGTTTTGTAGCATTTTCAACTACAACCACCACTATCACCACTACATTACACTACACCCCAATACATTACACTACACTACACTACAACTACAACTACACCTTCACTACAGTCTACTACACTACACTCCACTACACTACACTGCACTCAATTACATTCAATTACACTACGCTACACTACATTACACTACACTACACTACGTTACACTACCTTCCACTACACTACATTACACTACGCTACACTCCACTACACTACACTTCACTACATTACACTACACTACACTCCACTACATTACAACTACACTACACTACATTCCACTACACTCCACTACACTACACTCAATTACACTCCACTCCACTCCACTCCACTCCACTACACTACACTACACTACATTCCACTACACTACACTACACTACACTACCTTCCACTACCTTCCGCTACCTTCCACTCCACTCCACTCCACTCCACTCCACTCCACTCCACTCCACTCCACTACACTACACTACACTACACTACACTGAATGACACTGCACTACAGATGACAGGTAGACAGATAGACAGATAGATAGATAGAGGTAGATAGACAGACAGACAGATAGACAGATAGATAGATAGATAGCTAGATAGATAGATAGATAGCTAGACAGATAGATAGACAGATAGGTAGTCAGAGAAAGAGAGAGAAAGAGTGAGAGAGATCAATCACCTTTCGATCCATCAGTGGCTTCGCTCTGCCATCCCTGATTCACCACAACCAACCTCTCCTATAGGTTTCCTATTTTTGAAACTTCCGCCGCCGCCTTGTGCGGTACTACTGGTATGAATCACTTGAACCTAGCAATAAATGAGACGAGAATCCTTGACTGCAGGAGTTTTCCGCGCTTGGCATAGAAGTCGATGAGGCCCTGGATGAGAAACTGGGTCCCATGATAAAGGATCTGGCGATGGGATCTTTGATCGACGCATTTAACGAGCAGAATCCCAAACAGGCAGTGGAAGATGTGGAACATTTAACGAACAGAATTACGGAGTGCATGTTCAATCATTGTGAAACCGTGTGAAACCTCTAGTGGTATACCACAAAAGCTTTATTGGGACATGTCAAGCTCTTGTTCGTGCATGTTGCCTAGAAAAAATGGCACCGCTTGGATGAATGTGAATTTTGTGACATATTATATTTTATATTTTATGTATAACATGGATATGTGTTTTCTGGATCGTGCCATGGAACTGTTTCAAAAGTCCGGTGTTCACAGAAATACATGCAAGTCCAGTGTCAGCTTGGCATGCCCGACTGTTGAGAGGCTCTTGCCCTATATGACAGGGTCATTGCTGTTGGTGATCTCGTGTCTGACGGTCCTGCGATTGCAGCCAAGTTGATCCTCGACTCAATACATCGACTATATCAGACTGATATATCAGACATGATCAAACTGGTATCGAACGTATGACTTCTTGGAGTCCAGATATGTCCACCTCCAACGTACGTTGCTGGTGCCATTCATCTCTGTGCTTGGCCAATCTTGGGGCCATGGACAATGACTAAGGCGAGAGCCACTTACCAATGAGCCCATCATTCTGACTTTGAGACGGCCCCAACAGATCTACGCGCATTTGTTCAAGCCGGGATCGTGCGCTTCCCAGCTCTGATGATTAAGGACCACAATGTCATAAACACTCGCATTACAAAGGATGATGGCAATGTATTGCAATATATTGTGATTATCATGGCAATCGCAATCACAACTCCAGAATGAAAGCCTGGACCATGAAAATAAGATAATAAGATATAATAAGATATAATAAGATATAATAAACTATAATAAGATATAATAAGATATAATAATATTTAATAAGATATAATAAGATATAATAAGATATAATACGATATAATAAGATATAATAAGATATAGTAAGATATAGTAAGATATAGTAAGATATAGTAAGATATTGTAAGATATAGTAAGATATAGTAAGATATAATAAGATATAATAAGATATAATAAGATATAATAAACTATAATAAGATATAATAAGATATAATAAGATATAATAAGATATAATAAGATATAGTAATGATATAATAAGATAATAATGATATAATAAGATAATAATGATATAATAAGATATAATGAGATATAATAAGATATAATGAGATATAATAAGATATAATAAGATATAATAATGATATAATAAGATATAATAAGATATAATGATATATAATAAGATACAATAAGATATAGTAAGATATAGTAAGATATAATAATATACAATAAGATATAATAAGATATAATAAGATTTAATAAGATTTAATAAGATATAATAAGATGTAATAAGATATAGTAAGATATAATGAGATATAATAAGATATAATAAGATATAATAATGATATAATAAGATATAAGAAGATATAATGATATATAATAAGATACAATAAGATATAATAAGATAAAATAAGATATAATAAGATATAATAAGATATAATAAGATATAATAATGATATAATAATGATATAATATGATATAATAAGATATAATAAGATATAATAAGATATAATAAGATATAATAAGATATAATAAGATGTAATAAGATATAATAAGATATAATACGGTTTAATAAATATAATAATGATACAATAATATATAATAAGATATAATGAGATATAATAAGATATAATAAGATATAATAATGATATAATAAGATATAAGAAGATATAATGATATATAATAAGATACAATAAGATATAATAAGATATAATAAGATATAATAAGATATAACAAGATATAATAAGATATAATAAGATATAATAAGATATAATAAGATATAATAAGATATAATAATGATATAATGAGATATAATGATATAATAAGATATAATAAGATATAATAAGATATAATAATGATATAATAAGATATAATAATGATATAATAAGATATAATAAGATATAATAATGATATAATAAGATATGATAATGATATAATAAGATAAAATAAGATATAATAAGATATAATAATATATAATAAGATATAATAAGATATAATAAGATATAATAAGATATAATAAGATATAATAAGATATAATAAGATATAATAAGATAAGTAATTACATCAACCATTGCAGTGACGGTCTTGGACAGTTCTGTTGGCTCAGCTGAGAGATTCCAGGCTTGGCATGAAGCTGAACTACAAGTTTCGCTCAGTCGGGGCATCGCGTCTCGACAAAAATTGACAGAAGCAGGGTTCAAGGGATGGATTCCAATATGGCAAGTCCATGCAAATATAATCATATATATATATACACACATATATATATATATATATATGTACTCATACATGATCATATATATATATATGTAAACACTAGCATCAGTTTCATTACGCAGGTTTGAAACTCATCGTGCCGTGGACTTTGAAGCGCGTTTTGCCAAGGATCAGTGAGCTTTCGCCTGATGGACTGACCACATTGTGCTGCAATGTAGTTTTTACCGTTGCCCTAAACCAGCACCATTGGAACTTACAGAAATCTGGTAGATTGATTGAGAAAGATGCAAAAATGTGAAACCATCCTGATGATCCCTTGCACGTGACACAAGTAGTCGTGATTCCTTTGTGATTTTGGCATCAACAAATTGTAGAGGTACTTGAAGATACATTCAAGATACTCTAGTTGGATTTTGACTTCAATAACGGAGCATAACGGAGCTGAGTGCTTGCAGGACTTGTTGCAAAGTGGAACCAGGTATGCAGCTCAAGTGTGCTGAAGTGCTCGTGTGGACTCCATGGTCACAAGTCACGAGTGGTTCATACAGTGCAGAGTTTGACTTTGACAATCGGATGGTTTGCATTTGCTCCGTGATTGCAGCACGTGGACTAGCTGCTAGCTCAATCAATCCTAGAACTCTTCAGGAAAAACACATTAAAACAACCATTCGAACCGCTTGAAAGTCTTGACGCGCCCAGGAGCATCCTGACGAGAAAGTCGAAATAGGTGACAGAATCCTCGAGCTCAACAGCATGAAGCATTTAGGCACACAATGGCAGCGGTAGCATTAAGATACGGTCGCATCAGGTCTATTCAGATTGACAGTGCGCATGTTTGAATGACACGCAACACTTGATCTTTATTCTACCTCGCCGTGATTTTCTTGCTTGATTCAGCAGCAGAGTACAACAACTGTTGGATGGGCGCTTCCACTGACCATGGCAATTTGCCATGCAGGTCCTGAGCTCATCGAAAGACTCCAGAATCGTAGCAAGATGATCCTGACGGTACTGAAGTTCTGAGGATGCTGCAGCACTGCTTTTGATGGATCACTCCATGCTCCTACGCTTAGCTCGGTCGTGATCATTTGTTTGTTAATGATGATGCTCTCTGTTGGACCAGCGTTGAAACCTGATGCTAAAGGCTGGACCATGCTGTACTACTCTACTCGACCTAGTTTGTCTTCAATCGTTTCATGTTTTTGGCAGAGAAGCACAAAAGAAATTGGCTGCTTGAGTCAGACTCAAGCGAACCACGGCCCACGGCCTCCTGGAAGATCAGGATACCTGGATACCAGTGACCTAGCTACCAGTGATTTGGCCATCTCCCCATCATCGTCCAAAGGATGCTCTGAGAAACCAATCGGTATCGTAGCGTTCATGGTTTTTGACCATGGAAAAGTGCGTGTTCCAGAGGGCATGACGGGCATTTAGGTATAGACTTGCATCTGGCCTTGCAGTGCATGGACTTGAAAATTACTTGTCTCAGAACTTCTCAGACAAGATCAGACATTGAAGTGATTCTCTAGGTGGACGACAGGGCCAGACTTGCTGGTTGAGTCGATGGATAATTGAAATATGTGTGGAAATAGGTGATCCCCAGGACCATTAGAGCCTTGAAATCCTTTGATATCCTTTGATATCCCTTGATATGTTACCGTGATCCATTTCAACCTTTGGAATTTTGGCTTCAGCTTTGGTGACGGAGCGCTGAATGACCAGGCCGGATGCCATGCCACACTGCAAGGGTGCTTCAAATTTCTTTAATGACTGGTTTGATGATGGTTGATGAATGGGTTTGCTGGAACCAAGAGTAAGCCAAGTTGCGACTGACACAGTATCTTAGAGTATCTTGGAGTCCTCGGGCCTCCCAAGCGTCCAGGATCTAAGATGTGAGAAACTCAGCCGACAGGATGGTCTTCATGTCGGTGACAGTGACCTTTCATGACACCATGACACCTTTCATCACCTTTTGTTTGTTTCATTCCTTTCATGTCACTGTGACATGAACAAACTGAAGTTCCATTAAAGCTGCATTGAACTACTGTTGTTGTTATTTCATGTCATTTCTTCATATTTCTCACTTTATCATACTTTATCATACCCTTTATCACTCCTTTGTTTCATTGAGGCTTTGCGGCTGTTGCGACAGCGGTCAAGAGGTGGAGGAGCTGAAGGAAGTCTCAACTCTTCCCATTCTGGTCCCAGAGTTGCGGGAAGGTACCGAGTCTCGAAAGGCGAGTGGAAAGTTGTTGATTTTTGGTTGGGTCAACATGGAAACAGTAGGAGTCTGTTGGGTCAACCAGTTAGCAAACAACATCAAGTCACGTCTAATCAAATCTATATCAAATCTCAATCACCAGATCAATCTTTATCCATCTTTAAGACTGCAATGGGATTATTCTTGACATGTTTTGACCTTCAAATATTGTGTGGTCCCTGTTATACCTGGAAGATGCTCTTCAGCCTCCAGTGTTAGCAGGCAGCTCCTAGCCATGGGACGTTTTCGGTCGCAATCCCAATGAAGGCGCGGGGTGATGTGCAATGATGAATAATGCTAATGTGCTAATGTGCTGATGATGATGATGATGATGATGATGATGATGGTGGTGGTGGTGGTGGTGGTGGTTATATTATGAACTACTGTATTTTTCATTATTGATGATTATGGTATGCTATGGTTATTGAGCTATTCTTATTCTGTCCTACTCTCATATCATATATTAGTTCGTATTGTGTGCGGTTTTAAAAGCTTTGAGGCAGCCTCTCCTTTACAAACTTGTCTTGGGACACCTGTGATTCCTTCTACCATTCGCTGCACACAGCGGTGTTGAGTCGTTTTGTTTCGAAGCGTGGTCTTTTTTGATGTGACTTGCGGTGGCGACTGTAGCTTTTGATAGTTTTGGACTGTTTTGGTATGCGTGCTTTGAATCTTTGGGCATCTTTGGGCATCTTTGGTCATACCCTTCACTGATATTCACCGATCACATCGATCCCCACCGCCAAAGCATCAATGGCATAGCCCCGCCCAGGGGCACATTTCGTTTGGCGTGAAGCTGGACGTCACAGACACAGCGGTTGGTCCTATGATCATTGATATTCAAAGTGGTGCCGTTACCAGCTTCAATGATCGAAATCCTTCGCAGGCGCATTCCTGTAGTGGCCGTTTTTTCAAATCACTGTCAATCCAAGCACATGTTGACTTTGAACTCTATTTCAAGTAAGTGGCAACCGACTAACTATACAATTCCTTTCCCCACTGTTTGTTTCTGTTCTGGATCACTTGTCAGGCTATTCAGATTTGGGACACCATCGCAGAACTTGAGGATGCCAAAGGCATGGTAGCTGTTTATGAGAAAATGACACCTGGCTGAGGATGTCTTTGGTTCTTTGGTCCACCAGTTGAACAGATATCATGCACAACTTGCCCCAAACTGCAAGGAGATTCTCACTGATTCCCTGTCCTAAGGAATGGCCCGCTGCCGGAGACTGTGAGAATGACTCTAAGAAGGCCAAGGCAACTAAATGCAATGCTGTCCAAAAAGGATGGGCCGTTCAGCGCTCAGTCTTCAATCCCGGTGCATGTACACTGTATGCATGGTGTGGACACAAACAGAAGCGGCGCCTTTGCCCAGAGACGCAACGCCGCAACGCTCAGGTTGGGCGTGCTGCTTGACTACAAGCCCTCATCAGTGGGTAGCTTGTAACTTGGCGCATGCCAGTTGTCAGCTTCCACAAATGGAATATACTGCGAATGGCTATTACTTCGGAGTGATAACCAACTGGAAAAAGTTGTCATTGTGGGGTATTTGTACAACTTGTGCTCCATTTTCGTGCCAATCCATGCCAATCCTGTTGACGATGACAGATGGTGCCAGCCTGCGTCGGCTGAAGATCTGAGGATTTCTAGTGTGAAGGAGTCAGGACAGGTTGTGGGAGCAACACTTATTTTTGCGCAGCTATCAGCAGTTGTAATTTAAAGTTGTGCAGGATCCGAATTGACATTGGACTTTGTGACACTGACTGACATGGCAGTGGAATTTTAGTGGATATCTGATTGACATGTGTGGCTGTCAGGTCTGTTTTCTGCTTAGAGAGCATTGTCAGATCATTGCCCAGGGCAATCAGCTTTATCTTTGGCATGTCACAGAGCTGACCAGAGCTTCTAGCATGGGACGGTACTGTGCAGGACTTGTTGCCAAGTGGAACAAGGTGTTGGCCTCAATTACAGAAGTGGGATATGAGATGCCAATGTTTGCCAAATTCCTCCAAATTCCCTGGGCAGATTGGGCAGCCACAAATCGTATCAAGATGTATCAAGAAAAATACAAATCCCCGAACACGGCTTTTTAAGTGGCATCGAATATGCATTAATTATATTTAAATATCAATAAATATCATTTATTACTGTAAACATCATCGAACTTTACATCTCCAAGTCTGGAAAGTGTCTGACCAGAAAAGGTTGGCATGATATAGCCACTATGGGGGGCTCCCCTTAGCTCAAGATGCAAGCAGTTTCAAGACCTAATTGCATGCATACAGTATACACATGAATCGTATGACAAGTTTTGACTAGATGTCTGATGTGCGGGTGAATGCGGGTGACAAGCACTCGAAGCTGAACTTTCTAGATTGAACTGAGGAACACCCTGAGGATGCGCTGTCAACAGGGGATCGAATTCTCAAAATCAATGGCAAGATGCCCACAGGCACAGACTGTCCTTCACCGCAGCTGTGGAAAAAGTTACAGCCATGTTACAGCCTTACATGGTACAAGACAGGGCAGGGTGAATCTTTCACACATTTGGACTGCATGTTTGAAACAGCAGTTGGAGGCGATGCGATCATCCAAGAGATCAAGAATGCTGGCGACCTCAACCTGACGGTGCTGAAATTCGCACAATGACCAACCTTTGTTTTTTCGTTTAAGTGATAATGCAGTGAGTCTAGACGAGTCTGGGCCGCTAGCTAACGCCCACTATCTGACTTGCGATTCCGAAGGAATCCCAGTCTCGGGATTTTGTTCAAGAAATTGCTGCGACATGCAGGCGAACTGGTCCTGAAGTGCGGAAGCGGAAAAAGCTGCAGTATGCTGCAGTGTTCAAGAAGATAATGTGCGAAAGCTGCAATGTCTTTGTCTTGCTGCTGCCGTCTTTGCGACATCCCCCGGAGACGTCGGCTATTTGTACCTTTAAAAGATGGAGGAAGGTCAAAATGCAAATGGCAAACTCAGAGAGAATATACATCCAGAATCCAGAGGATCCAGAGGATCCAGAGGTTCTTTGTCTTCTCTTCGCCCTCTCGTTCCTAACGCGATTGCGGTGGCTTAATTTGCTTAATGTGGTGTGGCATAGTGATATAGTGTGGCTCTGTGCCGTGGTCCTACCAGCTTCCTTCTTGTGGATTTGCTGCAAGGTGTCATAATTGCCGTCTCGCAGTCTGTTCCAAACCCTGGTGTGGCCCTGGGCCCAAAAGCAACTTCTTGCCACTCCCCGGTCTCTTGAGAACATCCCATGAGGCTTTGGCGATACAGCAACAGAACGATCTTAGCAAATCTCAGCGCTATACACAGCTGCAAACAACTTGCCCCAATACAACTTGACAGTGCAGGGGCATGAAGCCTCAAAGCAACTCTTCTGCCGTAAACCTGAGAAGCCCAATACGAGGAAGATTCAATTGCGTAGGTCGGCGAAGCGGCGCAAAAGACATCGCGAAGAACATCGCAAAAGATTGGACTGTGTTGGATTTTTAGACATCTAAGAACTAAGAACTGGAGGCAGCCACAAACGTCGCAGAGTGTGCCGCGGGCACTGTACTGTGAAGGCACTCTGAGTCCACCTCGTAAGGCGATGCTCGGGTATGTTCAGGGGCAATACGGCAACACGCATCGCATCTTATCGCTATCAATTTGGTACATGCAAGATTCAAGCGCCAACCGCTGTGAAATGCCAGTAATCTGATTGTTTGCGCTGGCAAAGCAACTAGTATAGAAAGTTCCGTACATCTTGTTGAACAATGTCAGACAGGATAGTTACGTTGGATTTCGTCGCATAGTGGCATAGTAATTACTTTGGATCCGTCCAATCATCACCTGAGTGTTCACCGACGGCGTTCGATTCCAAGCGACCCACGTGTGACGCGCCCTTCCGCAAAACGCCCACACCGGTGGGCCACCACGAAGACACGGCGATCTGCCAAGACATGCCATAAAGATCCATAAAGGGCATGTTTTGAGCAACGAAAATAACGAGAAAGACAAGAGGAAAATATGAACATAGAATACGTCCCAAAACAATCCAACGACCCTTTTGAAGTGTAGGCTACCCACTTTTTGCTAAGCAGGAACCGCGCCGCAACTTTTGATGATGTGCGCTTTACCTCCGTTGTGTAAAGATCAAATGATACGCCTGCCATTGAGGACATGCAGGTCACCAAAACATGCAATACATTTGCAATACCGTATGTCAATGTATGTCATATGTTGTCCGGTGGTAATAATTACTGATTTTCCCAAGTTCTTTGCGCAAAATGTCTGCCGTGCAATGGCTTGCATGGATCATTTTGGAGAACAGTTTTTTGATTTCTTAGCGGGTTGGTTGTGAATATAGATCTAAGGTGACACTGAAGCGCCTCATACCCCCGTTGGACATGTCCGCCACGGACTTCGCAATGCTCTTCCTTCCCAAGATTTTGTTTTGCTCAAGTGGAATTACTCTGTTGGTGATTCCACGGTTTCGAAGTGTTCTGCACTGTTCTTCATGTCTTGGCCAACGTGTACCTTCCGCGTTCAGTCTTTGCTGGCACTGACATCGTCCGCCTTCAACTTGTTTCTAACAGTCACGAATGCTGTCAGCATTCGTGTGCTGTTACTTTTCGTGTTGTGGTACGGAGCATGCAATACAGGCTCGTAGCAAAGTGTACAGAAGTAGTGGCTGGCATTGAAGAATCTCCAGAAGGGCACTACACAAATAAAACATAAAACATCACAAAACCGTGTTGATGATGCAGCACGATGTAGCTTGGTCTACCACGGTATTGTGGAGGTGCAAGTGCGTAAGCAGTGTAAAATGATACCGTGGAGAAAAACACATATTTTTTGTAGGTAGCATGGGGGCAATACTGTGTGTCAAACAGGGCTAACACATGCTAACACTACGTCAGAGTTGGTGCAATGCAGCGTTGCTTGCGGCAAACCTTTGCAAAACAAGCGGCACTTCGCTCTGGAAAATAGTACCGCGTAGTGCCTTCTAAATGCCTTGTGTGGAAGTGCTGGCATGTCTGTCATACAGCAAGTACCACAAGTACCGTGTATCGTGTGAGTTTTTCCCCACCAAATGACGATCTCTAGATTCCCCAACCCGCGCACCCACAACATCCTCGTACCAGTTTCTTAGGATATCAGGTGGGTTGAGCCTCCCTGTAGGACCACTGTAGGAGTAAACCCTCAAATATTTGAGGCATACCAGTAGTACCACACAACGCGGTGGCGGAAGTTTCAAACATAGGAAACTATAGGAGAGGTGAGTTGTTGTGATGCATGGATGACAGCTCAAATAGAGGTCACCAAATCTGCCAACACCCCTAAACGAGGTGTTTAAGAGTTTCCAAGAACAAAGCGCGATTCCACAACTACGTTCTCACGATTCAAGAACCAAAACCACGCCATTCCAAAACCAAACCACGCGATTCCCCAACCAAAGACGGCGCGCTTCCACAACTACATTCTCACGATTCCACAACCACTCTCCCACGATTCCACAACCAAAATCTCAGGATTCCACAACCAAATTCCCATGATTCCACAACCAAAACCTCAGGATTCCACAGCCAAACTCTCACGATTCCACAACTGACATCTCAGGATTCCACAACCAAAATCTCGCGATTCTACAACTAACAACTATTGATTCCACCAGGAAGACTGCCGCTACTTACTTTCATTGTAGAAAATTCGTGACAAGCTACAAGAAACTTAAATCCCCCACCCCCCGCAAAACAATAGATCAAATTTAAGTATTCAGCAAGCAGCCCCGCTTCTTAGGGAAGACTGCCCCTTTTTACTTTCATTATAGAAGATTCTTGACAAGTTACAAGACATTACAAAATCCCCCACCCCCGCAAAACAATACATTAAATTCAAGTCTTCAGCAAGCAGCCCTGCTTCCTAGGGAAGACTACCGCTACTTACTTTCATTATAGAAAATTCTTGACAAGCTACAAGAAACTTAAAAATCCCCCACCCCCGCAAAACAATAGATCAAATTTAAGTATTCAGCAAGCAGCCCCGCTTCTTAGGGAAGACTACCGCTACTTACTTTCATTATAGAAAATTCTTGACAAGCTATAAGAAACTTAAAAATCCACCACCCCCGCAAAACAATAGATCAAATTTAAGTATTCAGCAAGCAGCCCCGCTTCTTAGGGAAGACTACCGCTACTTACTTTCATTATAGAAAATTCTTGACAAGCTACAAGAAACTTAAAAATCCCCCACCCCCGCAAAACAATAGATCAAATTTAAGTATTCAGCAAGCAGCCCTGCTTCCTAGGGAAGACTACCGCTACTTACTTTCATTATAGAAGATTCTTGACAAGTTACAAGAAACTTACAAAACCCCCCACCCCTGCAAACCAATAGATCAAATTTAAGTATTCAGCCAGCAGCCCCGCTTCTTAGAAGATGCGACCAGAACTTGGGTTAGGGCAGTTCATGTAAAGAATGGAGGAAGTCTCGCAGAATTGCTTCGTTGCGGACATTCCACTAGACTACAACTTCACTACACCACGCTACAACTACAATTCACTCCACTGCGTTGCACTGCGCGACAGCTTCAACTACAAGTACAGTACAACTTTGCTGCCACTACAACTACACCTACAACTGCGCTACAACTACTCTACACTACACTACAACTACAACTACCACTACCACTACACCTACAACTACAACTACACTGCAACTACACTACACTACAACTACACTGCAACTACACTACATTACAACTACACTGCCACTACATTACAACCACATTACAACTACATTACAGGTACAACTACAACTGCAACTAAACTACAACTAAAACTTCAACCACGCTACACCACACTACACCACACTACAACTACATTACAGCTACAATTACCACTGCAACTGCACTACAACTACAACTACAACTACAACTACGACTACGACTACAACTACACTACACTACAATACACTACACAACTGCACTGCACTGCACTACACTACGCTACACTACACTACACTATTCTACACTACACTATTCTACACCACACCACACTACACTACACTACGCTACGCTACGCTACGCTACACTACACTACACTAACACAACACTACACTAACACTACACTACACTAGACTACACTACACCACACCACACCACACCACACTACACTACACTACACTACACTACAGCTACACTGCAGCTACACTGCAGCTACACTACGCCACAACTACACTGCAACTACACTACACCCACACTACAACTACAACTACACCTACACCTACAACATCTGACAACTACAACTACACTACACCACACCACACTACACCACACTACGCTACGCTACGCTACAGTACAGTACACTACACCACAACTACACTGCAACTACAACTACAACCACAACTACAACTACAACTACACTGCAACTACACTACACTACAACTACGCTGCAACTACACTACATTACAACTACACTGCCACTACATTACAACCACATTACAACTACATTACAGGTACAACTACAACTGCAACTAAACTACAACTAAAACTTCAACCACGCTACACCACACTACGCCACACTACAACTACATTACAGCTACAATTACCACTGCAACTGCACTACAACTACAACTACAACTACACTACACTACGCCAGACCACACCACACTGCACTACAATTGCACTACAACTACACCACACTACACTACACTAGACTTTATTGCCCTTCAATAGGCTAAAACCACACTACACTACAGGGCGCTACACTGCACTACATTACATTGTACTACATACATACATTGCACTACACCTACAACTACAACTTCACTTAAGCTACA